ATTTACATTCATTCATTTCTGTTTTTACTCATTTCATTGAGTTGGCCTTAACAAATAGATCTAGTTGTCATGATTTGTGGAATATGTCTAGTCTTGTTCTTCGAGTCCCTTGTTACAAATGATGCTGAAACGTACCAATGGTAAAATGTTTATTTTGTCTTAAATATTGGATATCAGAAGCCCATCTTTTCACAGTAAGATCACATCAATGTTAATTTAAATTGACAAATAATTTGTTTTCAACCTCAAAGACTGTGGGTAAGCTAAAGACTGTCTTGTTATGAAATCTGGTTTGATGTAGGAAATCTCAAGAAGAAGCAGGGGATGTTTTTATTTGTAAATTGCAGAAAGTGTTTAAGTGTGAATAGGGGTGAAAAGTTTTATCTCTCAAATAAAGCACTATTAGTGAATAGTTAATTGATCTCTGAAGACTTAAAGACAATCCGACCCATAGTTAAATAGAAAAGGTGGTTTTTGCTAGAGGTAAACTGTTATTGAATGGTCTCATGGGTAAAATAAATGGGTATATGAAGCCCTGGATATACTGTTGTTATTAAAGGAATAAAGTGTGATATTATTGGTTGTATCTGTTCAGTAGTTGATTTAGGATGAATGTGTTAAATCATTTATCTTACTTACTCATCAAGGTCAAATAAACAATATATCTGGGGCTGTGAATTGGCACTACAAACTTTATCTAAAACATGGTATTTTACTACATGTACATGGATAGATTTACTCCTACAGGCACTGATTGTCATTTTTAAGAATTTTTGAATCTCTTGCAAGCTATAATATTGTAAAATTTGAATCACTAAAAGGAACATCAGTACAAAAATGTTTTGATTCCGTGATATGATATGATGACTTGAAAATTTCACAAAGTCAAAAATATGTACTAGTTGAATGTAAAGACTGCTGATATATAATTAAGCATGTCTGAATATAAAACAAAGTTATAGAAATTGGGCTGGTTTGTATGAAAAACACAGCAGAATTCTTAATACATTTATCTAAGACACTTAAATATGACAGTGTGATATCAATAGAAACCAATTTAAACTTCTGGCAGAACTTTAAAATGTTCCATTGGAATAATTTTTAGACATGATTCGTTTTATATGCCCTCATTGAAATACATGTATTGTCGTATATTGCTTATGGACGGTCTAGAGGCTAAAGTTAATATCAATCGACTTCATGTTTATACACAGTATTTAAGGTCATGAGACAAAGAATCCGATCGATCTTCAAGGATTACCGAAAATTAATGCCAGAGTTATGACCCTTGACTACTTAGAAAAAACAAAAAATCTTGCGGATGCTCTACAGGACAAAGTTATTCGAATGACTTTAAATTTATACACAGAGTTTACGGTCTTGACGCGAACAAATACAAGCTAACTGATTTTCAATGAATTTTGATAACTTGAACAACTATTGAGCTAAATCCGTGATATTAAATGTTTTGTCTGCTAAACATTAGCATGGGGCAGAACTAGAAGCCAAGCGAATTCTAATGATTTCTGATAATTACTTAATGAGTTGTTACTCTTGATCAGATTTTAGTGTATTATATGTTTCATTACCAACAAAAGAAAGAAATATGCGACAACTCTTGTTGACCGCCCAGATGACTTAGCTCCTATGGGCGTATGTTTTCTTGCCTGACATCCTATTTTTTAAAATAGAAGTACTTTCGTTTGTGTATTGTCCTACACTCTTTGTAACCTTTTCTTCTTGATATTTAATGGTGGACTTCCATCATTTGATTTACATGATGCTAACATAATGAGATTTATTCTAGAAATTTCAACAGATTAGCTAGATATTTACTCATTATTTTCATTTTCTTAGTGATACAAACAACTTCTCTGCTGTAGTTCATTAACGTTCATGTAGAACAAACTGTATACTGTTAAAATATATACTAATTAACCCTATGGTTCAGCTATTTTATATTGATGGAAGATGATGGGAACAGTGGACAATCTGATAATGAAGATTAATGGGTTTGGCTTCCTACTTTCTCATAAAAATCTGCAGGTAGCTTGAACTAGAACTGTACTTCATGTGTTTTAGTGTTAGTATTAAGATCTGTAAAGGTTCATGAAGGTTAAGTTCATTATGTTTCATTATCTACAACACATAATGTACAGACAATTGATTGACCATGAACCTCAACTCTCAAGGTTGTGTATACATTCTGTTGGGTATAGAATTAATGAGAGGACTGTTTTCCATCAATATTTAGTATTGTGAAGTAGATTAGTATATTCTATGCTGTTGAGATTCAGTTCTTCATTAATAATTTAAACAAGATTAACAATAACAAGTCGAGATCAATTTTCTTGTTTTACTTCTTGCCATTAGGGAAGGACAAAGAATCAGATAAGATTGTGGCTTATCATTTGTTGAATTTTAGATCCAGATTTTCATAAAGAACATGGAAGACTTAATACACATGAATAGAGCATTTTACATCAGATTGTCTTCCTCTTTACAATAAAAATTGTAATGAAAATAAGTTAAATTGAAGTTTGATAAAAGGACAAAACTCTGAAACTACAGAGAGTCTACATTCAGTATATAAGAAATACAATTACATAATAAAAAATATCAATATCACAAGTAAATATGTGGCATTGAGATTAATATTCAAATGTTGATGCCAAGGAATAGCCTTGAAGACATATTATGCTTCATGAAACGAACCACAGCTAGGGAGGTTCACAATGAAAATAGGTTAATCATACATTTTGAGAGAAAAAAAGGTCCTTTGTACATATAGCATGTGAAAGTTTTTTGGCCAGGTGGAGGAGCCATGTGGTCTAATGCATACGCTTTAGTAGAATATAAAGTCTGTCATTGAGTCAAGTGACCTGGTTTAAATCCCAAGCTTGTATGTAAAAAAAAGAGTAGCTTTGCCTAAGAGCTAGCTTCGTGGATTTTCTCTGGTTTCCTCCAACTGTCAATTATTGAAATAACAATGCATTGTATGTTAGTCTCAAAGTAACCTGGTTAAACCCTTTCTCTCTTCTTTCTCCCTACTTCCCAATTATATTCTTTGTTGAATTACTGAAGTCTCAAAGAGAAAATGGTTGAAGTATTGTCAGGATGGTTAACCTCATTCTTTTCATATTATTTCTCACATGAAATTACATGGAGAGGATGCAGTCAGATATTGAAATAGAAAGCATGCGGACCAAAAATTAATCTTTGAAAAATTGTTTATAAGTTTTGTAAGAAATAGATGAATACATATTAGACCTATGTTTGTGTATATACAGAGTATGTAAAGTGGTAATCTTCTGACACCATCATTTGTTTATACAAGTACTAGTAGTGTAATATTAGATGTAGGGGCTAGCTGGTCAACATATCATATTCTAGTCAAATCGGTCTGTTATACTCCTTTTGTTTAGTCTTAAAAAAAACATATGTGGCATATTGAATATGAATTGCTAAAGTTTTTAAAACAAAGTCTTTGTTACACATTGGATTGCACATAAAAGAACCCTCGACAAATGAGTTTCACTAAGGAATAGTCATATGCCCATCTTCATTAGCTCATTTGGTGCAGAAAAGAAGGGAGTTAAACCCCATTTTATTCATTCATTTTTTTTAACAAAAAATATTAATCATTACTATTTCCGTCTTTTCCACTTAAAATATACTTGTAGCAAACATCAATTTCACAATTTATAATCCAAACTGTAGAATTCCATGTATTTCATTAAAGTAACAAAAAGATCTGTTAGTTGGGAATACACCCTTAATACTTGGCTTAAATCATGTTTCAGTATTCTTAATATTGAAAGATTGTTGATAATAAAGATTATTGGTCTTTATTTTCTATTGTCAATATTGATGTAGAGTCATGAAATGATTATTATAAAGATCAGTTCTGAGAACTCAAGGTCTATATTTTAATTGGTTAAGCTTTGAGGAATGTTATCTGGTAGACAACTTTGATTTATTATCAGTAAGTTTATATAAATAAATATGGCATAAATAAAGTGGTTGTTTTAGGCTGGGTTCATTTTATAGACTTATCAATAAATGCTTTGAAAACAAATGTAGGGGCTTGAAATGTATCTGTGTAGGTTTTTTTTTTACTTAAATATTTATTTTATTTCATAAGATAATATTTTGAAAATTGTACAAAGAAAGATAAGTGCATCTCCCCCCTTTCCCATGCTTCTGGCATTACAGAGCAGTTTTAGTCTTTAACGTAATTTGAATGAACTTTTCAGTATATTCATTTTTCCTTATCTATTTTTAAACAATAGCCAGCTCTTTATCTAAATCTTACATAATGCATCTTTAAGTTATAAAATTTTAAGGGTGGGTAAGACACTGGCTCGCTAGCCTGGAGGTCGCATGTTCAATCCCTGCACTGGCTTAGAAAGTGCATCGGGTGGGATTTTGCAATGTGGTTTCCCTTAGTCAGTGTAGCAGGATGGAGGGCCTGACAAGGACAGCTGTCTTGTCATTTGGGTGGGATGAAAAACCGAGGCCCTGTGTATACATTGGCTTGCACGTAAAAGATTGCATGGCAGTTGGAATTCAGTATAAGAGTACGCCTTAGTGCCGCTGCCCGGGCAAAAATTCCTTCATTGCACACTGTATGGCATACGCCTGTCTTCATTAGCCCGGTCGGAGCAGAACAGTAGGATGTTAAACCCCATTTCATTTCATATTTTATAAAATTTTAAGCAAAACCTGATTTACAAGACTCGAATTGTTATTTATGAAGACCCTGAATAAAATTGGGTTGGCCTTAGATGTGATATGTGTCCATGACATGGACAGTATATATGGCCTCTGAATGTACATAGATTAAAATGTCTGTTTGCAAATGTATTATTCTTATGGTATCCTATATTACTATATTGATGATGTTCTATTTACCATACTATATTGATGTTGTCCTATATTATATTGATATTATCCTATTTACAATATATTGACAGTATCCTATATTTACTATATTATAGGGAATCCAGTACCTGATTGAACATGGTTTATTACAAGAAACACCAGAAGATGTTGCTCAGTTCTTGTTCCAAGGTGAAGGTCTTAATAAAACAGCTATTGGTGATTACCTGGGTGAAAGGTATGTAGACAATGTGTCCACTTTTAGTCTAGTGTTTACATCCAGCTATATTTAGCTACATTTAATCTACTGACCATCATATAGCTGACCACAAACAATCCATTCTTTCTATGGTCAAACAGTGGTCACTGTAAAATAATCTTACTTTATTCTTGTTGACAGGACATGAGGTACAAAACAAATGTTTATTTGTAAATGACCTTTTACTGTGAACAATTGTCTGTTCTTTCTCTCATGTCAGAAAACATTTATCAAAAAATTTGCAATAAGTCCATAATACACAGTCACAGGTAATTTACTATCTCTTGTCAAAACTTCAAACAATCATAACTTTGCTCAAAATAAAGTAATTTGAACTATTATAACAAGAACAGTCAGCTCTATATCAAAATCTTACATAATGCATCTTTAATATACTTAGATGTGAAACTTATCACCAGATAATTAGACATGTTGAATGTTATGGTTTAAAATTTGGGCGGATATAAAAAAAAGTCCTAGTTGTGTCAATTAGATGTAATTGCTTCCAGACACTGTATTAAGTTCAAGTTTTCAGTTCCCAGTCAGGAACCTTCTGCATTTTACATAACTTTGTTGTAAAGATTTTAAATGTAGACTACTGTAATCCAGCCAATGGTTCTTGTCATTTAGTCTCAGATGGTCTTCTACCACATTCATAGTTTTTCAGCATATTTTTTAAAAATTTCAATAATGATGGATATTATATTCCATGATGAAGAAAACATCTGTAAAAAGCTTGTGTGTGATAATATGGTATGTCTAAGTCTGATGTCAATTTACTGTTAGACATTTCGATGGAAATCTTATGACTCGGGTCTAAATACATGCACATTTATGTTCAAGACTATGGTATATCAAGCCTCATGGCTGCATGCTTTTAACAGGAAGAGAATCTTGTTGTGATTTAGATGGGTAAATAGTCGGGCGATTGCTGGGTCCATCATAATAACATCTAAGGGAATTCTTCATTGTTTACCTCCCCTTTCTGACCTGACCATATTTATAACATATGCTGGTCTATCATTCTTTTAACTACCCAGTCAGCAAAATAAGAAAAATAATCTGATAGTTTATATAAATATTTTGATGTCCCGTATGATGGAATATTAATAGAACCTCAATTTATAAAAAATGTTTGACAATTCATGAGCAATTCAAAGTCCTGTGTGTCAGTGGCTGTTTAAATTTGTATCTCTTAAAGGACCTAAACTTCTTTGATTTACTTCAAAATATGTATTGAATTGTGTTGATTGATATATTCTCACATTTAGTGATGGGGTAAGCTCCACCAGCTTAAGGGGGGTTGGATGGCCGAATGGTTAGCATGTGCGCGCTGTGTCATAAAGCCGGTCATTGAGTCAACTGGCGTGGTTTCGAATCCCTGGTTGTACGTGATAAGGAGTAGGGTCGCCTGTCCAACCTCGTGGGTTTTCACCGGGTCCCCCGGTTTCCTCCCACTGCTAAAGACCCCTATGCGCAAGCGAATTATTGAAATAGAATTAAACCATATGTTAGTCCTGAAATGACCTAATTTGTGTCGGGTGGACATTAAACCCCATGTCTCTCTCTCTCTCTCTCTCTCTCTCTCTCTCTCTCTCTCTCTCTCCACCAGCTTAAATTCTTGTAATTTTAATCTGTCTCTCTGCTGTTCTTGTAAGCACTCTAAAGCTTATGGTTTGTTTGTTTTTTTGGACTTTTTGTGTGTGTGTGTGTGTGGGGGGGGCGGGGTCAAGCTTGCTGAGATTTTTCTGATAGTTCTAAAGACAACTCTAATGAAATTCAAACTTGCTAGGATTGTTCAGTGTTCTAAAAGGTGTTACCTATGGAAATTCAGACAACCCAATAATTTTATACTAACTTGTTGCTCTTGACCATGAAAACTTGAGGCTACTGGGTTACTGGTACCAATTTATGATTTCAGGGAGTTGGCGATGGTCTAATGCTCTCTCTCTCTAATTGATGATTTCATACATTTCTAATTTGTGAATGATTTATTCTAAAACATTGTACAGAACTCTGCTTGAATCTTTTGTGATTAGCAGGAAATGTGAATTTCTATCACACCAGTACCCTAATAAATAGTTATGCATCAATGAATTATAAGATGATTTCTTTTTTGAACCAAATTTGATAGTGGAAACAGAATTCATTAGTGGAAAAAGAGTTCATTATTGCAATTATAAAAGATGTAATTTAAAAGGGTGATTCATAGTCACACGATTTAAAACAAGTCAAGCCATTAATCTATTCCTCAAGTAATATTAAATGTAATTGGATTGTCATACCTGTTTGTAATTAAGAAAGATATGACTAAATAATAACAAGTGAGTATATGATGAGTCATTGAGTGAGATAACAGCTCTATGATCTAATTGAAAACATGTGGCACTGCACTCATAATTATCATTAGTTAGCCTTTTAACAAGTCATCTATGATGTAGGTCATGTTTTTATGTTAGGATTTTAATGATGTTCAGTCAAATAGCTATAGATAACATGTTTGTGTGTACATGTACAAAGAACTATAGCTGTAATATACCTGTAGATAATGTGTATATGTACAATATAGATGTATCATACACTGTAATGGTAGCAGATAAAATGTTTTCTTACACTATAGATCTACTGTGGAGATAACATGTTTATATACACTACATTGTAATAGTAATACCTGTAGATAACATGTTTATAGATAACATGTTTATATACACTATAAATCTACATTGTAATACTATTAAACTGTAGATATCATGTTAATATAGACTATAAAACTACACTGTAATACCTGTTTGTGTTTGTGTATATGCATGTACAATGTACATTATATAACTACAGTGTAGATAATCTGTATAATCTATGCAATTGCACATGGTTTTATATATAAAAAGTTAAAGGAAAGGATACTGAGTTTAGCTGCATCCATTCAACCTTCCACTCCGATTTTGTTTTTTGGGCATATCTCTTAAACCATTCAAGATATCTTTATGAAACTTAAGTCGGATTCGTATAAGTCGGATCTTCGCTCAACTTGGATAAAATCATTTGGACCCTTTGATCCTGAGCGTTTTTCTTATTAAATTTCTGCGCATAAGTCGGATCTTTGCTCAACTCGAATCAAAATGTTTGGTCCATTTGATCTAATTCCAGCTTTTTTCCTTCACCTAAGTGGGATTGGCAGTATGTTCAAAATTTTTACTAAGTCAGTTTCGTACCGATGGTCTAAACCGCAGTTAGGTAGTCGATGCACAGAGCCTCAAAATACTTTCCCCTATCATTTTGACTCAAATCCCGGAAAATTTGAAACTCACTGTCTACTGTACGAGACACTTTCCAGGAAAATTTAGGACATTTTTCAAAGATGGCCACAAAACAGAAGTTATCTACTCACACATACGAACAAAAGCTTGAAATGTGCCTTTGAATCAATTATTATCCGGCTCTTGCAATTTATTTCTATTCAAGCTAAAAATAGTCAGTCCACTTAGATTCGACTGATGCGAAGTTTACTGTACACACGTGCCTCTATCTAATAAGAATTTTCTTAAATTTTGTCTTAAATTTTTGTATACATTTACATTTATCAGCCAGCGTAAATGTAAAATAATCCAACAAGAGCTGACAGTTTCGCTATGATAGTTAAAAAATAGATAATGAAAAGGGAATATGTTGAAATTTTCAGTCAAATTACTTCATTCTGAACAGAGTTATCCTCGTTTGCAGAACAGTGTATATTCTCGATTGTCAATGCTACCGTTGTTATGAAAATGAATTATCCATTACATGTATTAAATTAAATCATTAACTGCCAATCCTGTTTAAATCTGTTGAAAATCAAAACCATCCGAAGTTCTAGAGATTATGGGCATCGCATGTAAATAAATGTCTAATTTATGATTTATACATTTGAGGCCAAACAAAAGATCTACATTAGTCAGATTTAGCTCTTTCATTAAATGCTTCTTTAAATGTACCAAAATGAATTTCCTTTAAATCAGATGGGCCAACAGGTACATTTAAGTGATGACTGATATTTAACTGATAACTTACTGTTTATAATATATACATAATATTTATATATTACACAAACACTTATAATATCACTCAACAGTCAAAATCACACTTTTCAATAAACTAAGACCCCAAAATAAATTATCTATTTATAAATTCTCCATGAACTAAACAAATATTTTAAATTTGCTCTGGATATTTTTACAAAAGAAATACAAAGAGTTAATTGTGCAATTTAGATTTTGATTTTATGAAATTCCCAATGAAATACATATTTTATTATTAAAATAAAGACATACAATAATTATGGTTTAACATTAGACAAATATTGAAAACTTATTATACTTGAGATATTATTACAAGAATTTATTCCATCTGTACATATATTGGTATATATTCGCAGAAATGTATTCAGAATGTCAGCCTCTTATAGAAGCATGCATTGTAAAGTTTGCTGGGGTCAGCAATACTTTCAGAAATACAGTCACTGTACTAGATTTGGGCCAAACAATTTGAATTTTTGAAATTCTCAATGAAATACACATTTTTTTATTATTACAACATAAAAAATAAACCTACAATTATTACATATGATTTAGCAGTAGACCTAAAAGGAAGTGACATTTGGTACTGGTTAATTCCTTCTGTTGCTCCGTCTGACCTATTGAATTCCTAGTACCAGTGTTTTGTGTGGAAATTAAATACAGTATTATGACTATCAACTTACCCTAGTGTCTTACTTATGGTAACCTATTTTTAAACCAACAGTATTTTTAATCTATGCCACAAATTACTGATAAGTAATGAGGGGTAGTGCTAAGTAGTAGTAAAATAAATAAGAAAAGTGTTGAATTCTTTCTATTTTTATTTGCGGCTATCAGTATAAGAAAGAGTATACATTTAACTGCTACTCTGTATATATTGATGGAACTTTGTTTGATAGAGTAACACAGTAAAGAACTAAGTTATTCCCCTAAAGAAATAGAGATTTCATTCATTTTTATTTTTTTGTTGGTTATATTGAGTGGCTTCCATTATTCTTAATCACTGAAAAGTCCAAATAATCAGGTCTGGAAATAATTATTTTAGTTGTACCTAATTAAACAAGTCAGCATCACATATAACTTGGTTTGATTCAAACTTGTTATAAAGCGACCTATCAAAAGATTTTACCCAACAGTTTAATTTCATTTTATCATATCTTTGTAATTACTGAATTGAACTAGAGTATCAACTTGCATATTAGATATACTTCATTGGGGGGGGGGGGCTGCGGCCATTTTTCTTAATCGATGAACAGTCCCAATAATATTCCTCAATGCGAAGTTCATCTAAGCTATAATAATGGAGTCTGATTGTACTTGTAGCAATAACCATAATCCTGTCAAAAAGTGTCAGAAACTAAGATTTTTTTGTGTCATATCAGACAGTGTGGCTCAACCTACGATAATTATCAGTTCATTATTTATGAATGGTGATGATCTCAGTTTTAAATGTTGTTGCTGCCATTACATGATTTTATATAATGTTTGATATCCAATATGATGGATAATTCATGTGAAAAACGTTCAATAGATTCCTACAAAAAGAATTTGCAGTGTTTTAACATGTTAATTTGATTTATGATAAGGCGCCAAAAGAAAATCTGTACCGTTTGAAAGTTTTTCCACAATAGATATTGCAATACAACCAACGTGGTTGGTGTATTTATATGGCATGATAAAAGGAATTTTGTAAGATTATAACTGTTCATTTTAAAAGTATTTTTTGTACCATATTTAAATTTTGATTTTGTGGTTCGCAATACAATTGTAGATTCTAATTCCAAATTCAATTTAAAAGGTCCATAGATATGACAAAACTGATAAAAATAAGGATTTCCTTCAGGAAATGAATTTTACAATATATTACAATACACCATGGGCATGTACATGTATCACAATATATTGCAATACGATTTTGGGTTGGAATACACAGTTGTAATAATATTTGTTAGGTGTATGTCACCAGTCATGATAATGTCAATAGTTACTTGGAAAAAATGTAATGCTGAACAATTATTCCAGCAATTGATTTTGATTATCTTTTGTGGTTTTAGTGGTTAAATGGGGTTTCATATAAACTGACAAAACTTTGTAAATTAAAGGGTTAATGACTCAGTTTTATGATTTTTCAGGAAAGACTTTAACATGGATGTACTGAAGGCTTTTGTTAATCTACATGAATTCCGTGGAATGATTCTAGTCCAAGCACTCAGGTAAAATAATGATAATAATTAATCACTTTATTACAGCACTGGATATTACAGTGCAGATAGTAATGTAATAAGTTATTAACAATCATCACTGTTTAACACTTTTAACAGTGAGCTTTCAAATGGCGATTTGCCCAGAGCTATGGCATTATTCTCCAACATGCCTTATCTTTATGCCTTATTGTACATTTTCTTAATTTCAGACAATTTTTGTGGAGTTTCCGACTACCAGGTGAAGCCCAGAAGATTGACAGAATGATGGAGTGCTTTGCACAGAGATATTGTGACCTTAATTCAGACGTATTTAAAAATACAGGTTTGTTTTAATTTATAGAAATGATGTATCATGTAGATCAGGTAATATTAGAGGAACAAATGTTGTTGACAGAAGAGTAATGTCACACATTTCATTTGTACTGTGATATATGAACACTCTTAAGCGCAACAATATAATAAAACAGTTGGTCGTAGATGTATGTTTTCTTTAACAAACTCAAATACTGCAAATGGACGATCATTATTGAGAGATTAATTAATGGCTTTATTATTAGAATTTGTCATACAAACAACTAAGTCCAACACTTTCAGAAATGCTTCTACAAAACCGGCCTTTAACATGATTTTATCCCCTTCAATGAAAACCTTTCGTATTTTAGAATCAGTTACTAAAATAATATGTCTATCCAGCCATCTTCACATATTATAATATAAGTTAGGCCTATTTGACTGTACATATCCCTTGGTAGTCCTGTGTGTAGGTTGAACAAAAAATGGTCGATATAATTTAATGACAATTTTACAGTGTTTATTTCATCTTTGAAGTTTTTTGTTGAAGATAATTTAAGAATTTGTTATTAATTTCAAATAATTTCTCTTAATACCAAATTCTATCTGAATTATTAATTTTTAATGATATTAACTCAGACTACTTTTCTTGTGGATCAACTTAAATATGGTTTCTCATAACTCATAAACAAGAAGCTGAATTTTGAAAAATAGACAAATAAATATGAAGTTTTTTTAATTCAGAGCTGTGCATACTGACCAATATAATTTATTTGTAACTTATTCTAATTATATTTGATATTATTAATGTAAACATAAGCAGCCAGCTGTTATATGACATACAATGATATATAAAGTATGTTCTATAAATTATATATTTTGAAGTGTATACCTGAGGTCCTGTGTACACATTGTCGTGAATATAAACAGACCCTTGACAGTTGGAATTGAATATAAGAGTAGGCTGTTGTAGGCTGTGCAGAAGAGTAGGACATTAAACCCCATTGTGTAAACCATGGTGCATACTGACCAATATAATTTATTTGTAAAACTTATTCTAATATGTTACTAATGTAAACACAAGCAGCTGGTAATGGCACATAATTATATATATATGTAAATAATATAATGATATATATATATAAATGTTCTATATATTTACAGATACATGTTATGTTCTGTCATTTGCTATCATTATGTTGAACACAAGTTTACATAATCCAAGTGTTAAAGATAAACCTACTGTAGAGAGATTTATATCAATGAACAGAGGGATACATGATGGTGGTGATTTACCAGAAGAACTTCTCATAGTATGTATACAGTTTTTGTCCCATGATTTCTGTCTGTTCTCAGTTGAAATTTGTTTAGTAACTGATTTAGTAACGGAGTGACAATAACATAAAGACTGACAACCATAGTACAATATGGACCAGTGAAAACATTAAGCCCCGAAAAATGAAGCTTTACTATAATTTTAAGGGCAACTTAATTTTTCATTTTCAACAAAATTATTGTTAATTAATGTTAAGTATGAATAGAAAGTGGTTAGAAATTATACAATAGTTATGAATTAGCAGATGTATAACTAGCTGTGAAAGATGACTCTTATAGTTTAAAAGCATGTATAATTTTAATACCCATCAATATTGAATACACAAACCCAACCAATAGTAGTGTTTATTATCACTTATTAGTCACAGTAATAGTGAAATTACAATTACGTGTAATGGTACGTCAGCTCCAACTGGGCTATATTGCGATACCATATATTGGAGCTCTTGTGCCATAAAACTCCATTCCACACACGGTACTTAATGACTACTGTCTGATTACTTACCATTTTAACTGACTATAAAACAATTATAAGACATTAAATTTGTTGATGTTATATTATAGAATCTATATGATAGTATAAAGAATGAACCATTTAAGATACCAGAAGATGACGGTAATGATTTAATGCATACTTTCTTCAATCCTGTCAAAGAAGGTTGGCTGTGGAAACAAGGTTTGTAGTATTTGATTCTTCTTTTAATGTCAATGTGGGTGGCTAGGTGGCCAAATGGTCTAATGCATGTGCATTAGATCATAAAGTCTGTCATTGAGTCAAGTGGCGTGGTTTTGATTCCCAGCTTGTACTTGACATAGAATTGGGTTGCCTGTCAAACTTCGTGGGGTTTCTCTGGGTCCTCCAATTTATCCCACTGCTAAAAGACCCTATTATTGAAATATAATTAAACCATATGTTAGTCCCGAAATGATCTTGTTTGTCTCAAGTGAATTTTTAAATCTATTTTTCTCTCTTACTTTCAACGTCGATGTAATGGTTGTCTCCCTTCCTTACATCAAAACTAAACTTGCATTCTCTTCACATTTAATCCTTTATTATGGTTTTCTATGACTATATGTGTATGATAAACCGCTTCGTACAAGTTTAAACCTTATATTCAATGTTTTAGACAGATTAATAGTAATACGCTCTCTCACAAACATTCAAATATTTGAATTCAAATATTTTTTCATGGCTATTTAAACTGATTTCTTAGTCTTAGTTATTTGATGTCCATTGAAATTTAAGGAATTTGAATTGGGTTTTTTTTTTCCCCTCCTTGAAATCATTTAATTCAGTGAAATTAACTAATAAAGAGACATTAAAAGGAAGTATATTGCTCTGAAAGATTTATACTTCCTGGAAACCAGGCATCACAAGCAGTCCATCTATAAGATTATTCCAAATGGATCCAGTATTCTAATAACATTTAAAAAAAATGACTTGTATAAATAATATTCCAATAAATAATATTCTAATAGTAAAATCTATATTCAAATTTCAATGTGCCCATTGGAATTGTACAATAAGAACCTTTAGTAAATTTACTCTTTTATTTGCTGCTTTGTTGTCTCCTGTGTTTTCTCTTCTATTTATTTTTACAAACTTCAATCAAGTTTACTTTTATTTTTTTGGGGTTTTTTACTCCCTTTATTTATTGTAAATATTTTTATTTCTGTCTATAGGGGAGGTTAAATTGAGTAAGTTTTTATTTCCTAGGTTTATGCTCTTATTGTCCAGTGATTTATTGTCGCATAATATTATCATTCTAGTTCTGATTGTTTCATCTGTAAATCTGTTGTTTTAGTTTTATCATTATTTATAATCCAAATTATTGTAGTTTTTCTATCAAAAAGAGCCTTTATTAATAGTTTTTTTCTGTGTTGCAAATTTCAAAATTAAATAGTTGAAGCCTTCAATGTTTCCATGTTTCATAGTATCTTATTCATTGGGAATTCAGAAGAAAAATTTCCAATAGTTATATTCCATTTTTTACTATCAAGAACATGCATGATTTGTGGATTATATATGCAATCATACTGTCAAGATATGTAAGAAATAAAATGAGGTTTAATATCCTACTTTCTGTTCAAACACAGCTAATAAAGATGGGAGATATGTAAGAATCGTTGGTCTAACTTTTCATGATCACAATTCACAGTTTTAGATTAAGGCATTCTTTAATACAGTTGATTTTCAGTAAAGTTGCAGATAACAACTTACACAAACTTTGATCACAGTTCACGGTTTTAGATTAAGGAATTCTTTAACACAATTGATTATCAATAAAGTTGCAGATAACAACCTACACAAACTTAAGTGAACTCAAGTATACGCCTAACAATATGGGGTACATGAAAAGATGGCCTTAGTATAGTGACATTGAATATAAAATATTTGATTATTACTGTTTTGTTTTGTTGAACAGGAGGAAGATACAAGAACTGGAAAAGACGTTGGTTTATTCTCAATGATAACTGTTTATATTATTTTCAATATACTACAGTAAGTTCAAAATATTTTATTTTTACTACAAAAACAGAAGACATGAGATAGACTTCAAGAATGAAAAATGGGATTTTAATATCAAACACAAAACATCTCCCTGAATTTCATATATCAAAGAGATGAGAAAATTTTACACTTGGGAGACTCTCAGTTGTTTGTCATTAATGTTCTCAGTTGTCAGAATTACAATCAAATAGGTCTGAATTTATTCCTGTCACAGTGCTATCAGTCCTGATACATGTAACTAATATATTATGTGTAGAATTTGGACATAATTAAATACATCGCACAGTTTTCAGCCGTCATGGTTGATTGAGATATTTTTTTATTCAGTCAGTCCAAAAACCTCTTTTTTTTCAGTTTATTGTCATTAATCGAGGGATTGAGAGTATTCAATTACAGTCTCTGATAATCCTAGATTTCCTGATAGATTTAATAGTCTGTTGTTATAGTGATCTTAGTATTTTCACAATCACAGATTTTTTTGCATGTTTTACTTTTGTGATACAAGCTTACAGTAGAAGATTGCATATTCAATGGGATTGTAAATGTAGGCTTTTTTAAGTTAAGTTTCGAAATATAGTGAAGTTCTATATCTGAATTTCTGGGTTTGACAGACAGTAGATATTACTAATACCGACGAGAAAATGGCTGACAAAAAGGGCACAAATATGAACCCTGGAAATGTTTGGTTATCAAAACATTTAGGGTCTCCTGAACTAACAAACCTGTTCTGTAACCAATTTGTCATTCCTAATATATTGAGGGGTGTAAGGCTCTAACTCAGTATTATCTAGAGTCTTCGACATTACAAACAAAAGTTACTGATCCAATGGTCCATTCAATAGTGATACTGTGTACTTCGATGTAGACTGGACAAACCATACAATTTAAACTGCTTGCTTATTATGACAAACAAAACTGATGAGAAATTAGAGTGAAAGTTTTAAAAATGAATTTAAATCGGTTTATATACACTCATATTCTATTATTATATGATTTTTTACCCATTTATAGGTTGGTTCAAAAAAATAGAAACTTAGCTCCTTTAATTGATTTTTTGGTTGTTTTGTTTTTTGTAATCTGCAAAGATGCTCAATTGATATCCAATACTACCAGTACTTGAACTGATAGGTGCTTATTCTTTCTAGAACACTTGATACCACTTTTCTTATGAATAGTTCATGTACTGTATAATGTTTCATACTATCTTGACTTTTAATGAGAATTTGTTTATTTTACAGGACAAGGAACCAAAGGGTATTATACCACTAGAGAATATAAATGTACGTGAAGTGCCGACAGAGAAAGCTCATAAACCTAATTGTTTTGAGTTATTTACTGGTGGTAATGATATTATTAAAGCTTGTAAAGTCGATTCAGATGGTAAAGTTGTCGAAGGTAAGTTGCTTTCCACATCCAAATCAAGGAATTGAGTTGTGCAAAATTGTAAATGTCTTTGATGGTCAACTGACTAACAGATCTTTTGACTGTTTAAATCCGAAGGGTGCATCATAAACGGTCAAGATATCTTTATGGAATTGTATACGTACATCAACCTGGTTTGTGCCTTTTGGTAATTAGAGATTTTTTGGATTTTATGTCGCTTGCGTCACCTTGCAAACCAATTTAATTAGGTTTTGGTATGCAAGGGTACTAAATAATTGTTACATTTATTTCAGGTCGCCATAATGTATACAGAATGTCAGCTGGTAATGCACCAGAGAAAGAAGAATGGATTAAATGTATTAAGTAAGTCTTCTAAATTTATGTGATCAGTTTTCAGTAATTGTTTTATTGCCACATTCGGTCTTTGATAGATGAAGAAAAAAATGGAAATTATGAGTTACCGAAAATTACAGATTTTTGTTGCAGATACCTCTGTCTGCCGATTGTAAATATATAAATGTTACCTAATCACTGTACGTATACTGTCTCAGTGAAAAGGCTCAGAGGTCCTGGGGTCAATGGGCTGTTGTCAGAGAAAGTTGCTCAAGATTTGTCAGCCCGTTTCCCCATGTCATGGGTGCTGTGCAGAGAGTCTTGCAAGGAAAAACATCTAGTTATTTGGATACCTTTGACAACACATTAAAGATTCTGTGACAGTTGGAATTGGAAATACGAGCAGGATATAGTGCCTGGGCAAAATTTCAAATATACTGCATGGTATATACCCATCTTCATAAGCCTGTTTGGTACAAAACATCAAGGCGTTAAACCCCATTTCATTTCTATATGTATATATATTACTTTATTTTATTTTTTAGATCGAGCATAAATGATAATCCTTTCTACGACATGTTGGCAGCAAGGCGTAAGAATGCAACTGGTTCTAGTCCAGCAGAATAATGATCAGGGATTTTATAGAAATATCAGGAATCAAGACACAGACCTCAATACAGAATTATCCAATATCATGGTGATTTCATACCAAATACCAAATATTCACAAACATGATTTTATACACGAAGGTTTATTCACTTAGAGATCATAATCATCAACAGATTTCAACAAAAAAAAAACAGCATTTTTTTTACGATAGATTATGACCAAAATTTCCAATATCCAACTCCTGAATTAGTGGAATTAATTTGCACTTTATAGGCTAATGTGAAACTTGTTCCGATTTCTATATTCTGCATGAAAATAATTGATACATATTGTTATCATTATATTTACTGTTCGTTTCAATATACGCACCTCATGTCATTATAGAAATCAAAATATTCATTTATGTTCATTTGTTTAACTTAACATAATAAAATTATTATTTCATTTATTTACTATACTAACCATGAAAAATGAATCTTTATATTAAGATCATTGATCGACACCACCTAAAAAGCATAGCTTGATTTTAGGTGCACTGTCAAATAAATTGAATTTTTTTCATTGTAAGTAAAATTAATGAATTTTGAATGAAATGTTTATTTCATTAAACTATAACTAGCTGGTACTAGAACATCTATTATTTATATAGTAGAAATATATAAACTTATATAATGATTTGTAAATCATTTAGATTAAATTCCAGATATTAATATTACTACTAATAATATTAATTAATTACACAGGAAGAGTTTAATGCAAAATAGGCCCCAAAGATATAGGTGTCTTCCAGCCAAGGTGTATAATACTTTTGACATGGTCATAACCCAGCGTTTTGATAACAAATTCTAAATTATGGACAGAAACTATCTCTGCTTAATTCTTGTATTGAACTAAGATGTCTCACTGTGCAGTTACAGGCAGTAATGTTTTGCATTAAACTCTTCACATATTTATAGTTTTATATTCATAATTTACACATTCGACATATAAGTTGTAACATGGATTAACAATATTTTCAATATCATTCAAGAATTAACTATCATTCAAGAATTATCTATCATTCAAGAAATAACTATCAATCAAGAATTAACTATCTTAACTGTTGTTTCAGCTTCTCAAAACTGTAATTAAATTTACTGAAAATTTGAGAATTAAGGTTGAAGTGATTTACTTTGAAATTCTTGTGGCCTTCTTCTCAAAATTATAGTTTTAGATATTGAGATTAAAGACTGAATCAATTGATTTTGCTGTTATTTACAAAATCAGTAATTATGATATAATATTGAATGATAGTGTTAGTCATTGTAAGCTTCATATACATCATTTCCTGTATTATACGTCACATTCTAGGCAAATTAGAAACAAGCTTTATCAAGCAATAATGTAGAGATAGTCTGAGAATAACTATAAAGACGATTAAAACAATTATGTTGAACTTGATTTGTACTGGTAAACATGGGGTTAACATTTGACTAATTCAGTATTAGATTTAGTCCAAGTTGATAAATGGAGTAGACTAGGGCAAACATGGATTGATGAATGTAATTATGAATTTATAAGTGTAACACATCAAGAGAAATCTAAAAATTGATTCATTTGGGTTCATAATATGAGGTAGACCTTTTAATCTTTGAGGTACTGATGAATGAAAATAGGCTTTCCTAATCGGGGAAAATGTAGATTCATATCTACATGGACATAAATGACAAAGTCGGGCTTTACACTTTATATCTGTCAAATCAGTATCGACTGCAGTTCATTTTGAATGAAAAATTGAAACTTGAACCAGTAGAGATCACAAAGTCAGGCTTAATGCTTTTTAGTTAGCCTTAGTGGAAATGGATACATCAAATCAGTACCAACTGCAGTTCATTTTGAATGAAAGATTTAAGCCTGTACCAGATGTAGAATAACAGTCGTATTTGTAGTGATATATATTATATAGAGAACGTGTAGATATTGTATATGTATGTATGTAGGAATTATTATTATTATGTAATGTATAAAATCTATTTTTGCTATGTAAAATGTATTATAAGTGTACTATAATAATTATTTTATTAGAACTAGTCGTAGCCTACACTAATTAATAATTACCAAACTGAGATTCTAGAATGTACAAAATTAGTAGTCATTGATATAATACCCTAAAATTATAAGTTATTAATAACATAGCGGTTCAATAATATTGTTCTCTAATTTTGAAAACAAAATTGCCTGAGTTTTAATAGGTATGTGTAGTAAGTAAATGATACAACTTTTGGTAACTGGAAAAACTAAATTAATATCAATTGTAATAACAATTATCCAGAACACTGATCTTGCCTGGTTTTCAACATTATGGAGCAATTATATTGAAACATGGCTGGTACTAATTAGTCTATTATGTTTAGGAAAGCTTGATAAATATTTTCTTCAAATGAGTAAATGAGGCAGGAATGTAAAAATTTGTGCAGTAATTTTGGCTGCTTGTGGTGAAATTGTCGTTAAACATTATTTAATAAATTAGTACAGGCATTGTTAAACTTTGGTTCATTATACATATATATATATATATATATAAACCAAAGACAAACTTAAACCATCCATATACCATAACTCCCAGTAAACTTGTCAATCAACATACATGTATAGTCATAGTGTTGACAAGATATATTATTATTATATTTGCATGTTTTGGTGTACATATCTGGAAGAAAATTAGGCAAACAAATTGCATCTGAAACCATAGTAACAAACAAAATGACATGTTAGTCTCAAAATGACTGAAGGTTTGTGGGGGAAGTAGTACATCTTGTCATTGTAACTATACTATACTTGTAGTATTATGTATGATATCTTTTATTCACCAAAATTCATTTTAGTTTAGTAAGTACATTTTATATGTGCATGTTTTATCAAATATAATCCAATGCATGTATATTAGTCATAAATATTATATTAATATATTGACCAAAGTATTACTGGCCAATTATACCTATCTGTACTAGTGTAAAAAATATGGCATATGGAGGAACATTACATCTAAGTACATGAACATTATAAAAGCATTGCAAAGAATTTCATAAACATTTTAAAGGAACATATGTAAGTTCATGAACATTCTAAAGGAACATTGCATTCAAGTACATGAACATTTTAAAGATTACATTCAAGTACACATATGGGCATTATAAAGGAACATTGCATTCAAGTACATACATAAACACTATTACAGAACATTGCATCTAAGTTCATGAACATAGTAAATGAACACTGCATCTAAGTTCTTAAACTTTATAAAGTAGGAACATGAACATTCTGTAAGAACTTTACATCTGAGGGCATCTGAACACCTACAGATAGTAATGGAATATCTTATAGTACATAGACATTATAAAAGAACGTTTTATAGTACATGAATTGTAAAGGAATATGTAGATGAATTATTAACAAAGAACTGTTAATGTGTACATGAATTATAAACTTATAGAAATGATATAAATATTATGTAAATTCCTGTCTTTCTGACACACTTCTCTTTAATGAAGAACAATGACTTTGTTTAATATATACCAGCATTATTGTTGATTGTTTTACTAGTACATATTAAATGTAATTATGTAAACTGAAGCAATAAAGAAAATGTAGAGAAGAGACAGTTCTAGTCTTTTTGCTGTGATTTTAAATGATGAGTTATTTATGAACATTAAAACAGTAGATTTACCCATAGGTTTTATGTATTTTGTATATTTCATTTTTCTTCTCATTAAGTTATATAACATTTCTTTTATATTGTCTTTTTAAATCCTGTATAATTTATTTCTAAGTATTCTACCTGATAACCATTTTGTTTAGTATTATTGAGAAATGGAGATGAAATGGGATCAGTTCCACAAATTAATTGTAAATGTTGATATTTTAAAATTCAATAGTTATCTATTATATTGTATTTCTTTTTTTTTCAATTCTAAAATTTATATTCCAGATTTGTAATATTTCAGTGAAGTATCACATTAGCTGAAGTTCATAGAGGACCCTTACATGTAGCTGGATTATTACCCTTAACTAATGTATAAGGCCAGACCAATTTAGATCTTACTTCTTTGGAAACAGTACAGATTTTGCTTCCTACTCTTTTAAAGATTTTTTAAAAAAAAACCCAAAAACAAACAAAATGCTTATCTGATTATCTCTTAGATCCAGATTTTCAATTTTTGAATAAAATAAGTGTAAATCCTTATCGGGCTATTTATCAGTATTGCGAAAACAGAACTTCAATTTGGTTTGGCTTTTTTTTTTCCCCTTTTATTGCATTTCTTCCATTTATTTATCTAATTTTATATATGTATATTATAAACTGATTTATTAGTATGGTTATTCACTATATATTCTTACAAATATTTTATTTTCATCTAATATCTCATTATATGTTAAATTAAACAATACTGGTATCATGTTACAGAAGGTTCAGATTTAAAAAAAACAGTAGCAATATGGGGTAGAACAGTGTAGGAATTAAACCTTTTTTTTCTAAATCCAGAAAAATAGGTGTTTAATTTATACAAGCAGAAGGCTATATCTATTGGAAGTTCAGGCTAGGTAGTCAGTTTTGTGTTTTTGTTGAATATATTTTAGGGAAGTTCAACTAAGAAGAATGTATTAAGATTTTTGTCTGTTCTGGTTCTGTCATATTTAACAACCATTTTACAGAGGAAATATTGTTTCATAGAATGAAAAATAAACAGCTATATTTGATGGAGAAAAATGTGTTGTTGGGGGTGGGGGGCATTTAGATAGTTCTGTCCTTTGGAGGTAACAAAACTCTTCCTCTCAATCTCACAATGAGAAATTTGGAAATGAAATAAAAGTTTGCACGCATTTTAAAAAACAATGTGCCATAGTAATTCAGATTAATGAGTTTTGTGCAAACTTTTGACACTTGATATAGACTTCTCTAAACATGTTAAGTGCATGCAGGAATGTCTTATGTTCATCTGGACCTTCAGTATGGACCACTACTGCATTAGATTACATAATGGACAATTGTGAAGGGCATCATGGTAATTGTCCAGCAGCTTAAGGCTACATTAAAGCACACTGTGGACTACTTGTTAGTCTCAAAAAGACCCTGATGCTCATGGAATACCTGATGTATTTCTTTTGAAGCCATTCTATCTGTTTTAGCCCAGTTAGGGCAGTACAGTAGGACGTCAAACTCTGTTTCATTTCATTTAAAGTAATGTGGCAACTATAAGTTAAGTAATTGAGACTAGAAATTCAATAGAAATAAATGATGTGTGAGGAAATAAAATGTTGTCAAGTGTGTATATAAATATTGTATATATATTGTAATTATCTATTTTCAATCAGGTTCATTTTCTTAAGAGATTGATGTTCTATTCTCTCTACTTTTATATTTAGTATCATCCTTCAATAAAATGTACAGTTTTAATCAGTTCCTCTTATCTTTTTTATTGGAGAAAATATTTATAAATGAAGAGTCTAGGGGAAGAACGATCTAAGTCACATTTTTGTCTTTTCGCATAAAAGGCAAAACAGACTTTTGGACGAGAATGCTTGACACGAACAGAACAACAACGAGTGGGTTTAATTACAACTTCAAAATGATGTTTAATACCAATCATAATTACCAGTACAACAACAGACTTCCACTTTTCAGCCAAATTAAGGTCAAATAAATACGATGGAGATGGACTTGTATTTGTCCGGGAGGCCTTTTCAAAAGGGCCTTGGTTCGATGGGACTCCAGTCGTTTTTAACGCAGAAAGCTTATACAATTTGCTACCAGATGACTCCAATCGTTTTTAACGCAGAAAGCTTATGCAATTTGCTACCAGATGGCGCCATTAATTGGGGTTCGTTGAAAAAGTGACTTAGATCATTCTTTCCCGGGGCTCTTCAAATATTGACTACCACAATTCCCTGAAGAAAGTAGAGAAAAGTGATATAGTTCATACCGATATATCTCTGAGATATGTGTATAGCTATCCATGTTAAAGGGTTAATTTTCCTTTTTACACACCTGCATAGAAATGTAAAACTGAATTGCTGTTCGTCAAGTTTTTCGCCTGTGGGAAATGACACGAGATGGAGTTGAACCTGTTAAGTGTTACTTTTCTGCACCAACCATGCTAATATAAAACGGATTTCCAATTTATACAGATCTTGCATTCATTCCATAATAGAGACACGTGTACTGCTATGCATACTTGTAAATAATTAATCATAATTAGTCTGCATCTGCTGAACCAGGGTTTTCTCTCCATTGGTCATTTTAATACGCCCACACGTAATTTGGGTGTATAGTCATCACCAGGTAGGTCCGTCCGTCAACAATTGGCTTGCAAACACGATGAGAGTTTTTCAAATTTGGTGGCAAGCATTTTGGTCATTACAGAAACAACTCTATTGAAAATTAGAGTTCTGCAACTTGTCATTTCAGATTTATACCCCTCTGCCCGAAACCTTGTGAACACAATCAGAGGCTATCATTTTCAAAGTTGGTGGGAAACATTGGGGTTACCCCCCTTTGCTGTAAATCTATAGAGACTATAGTTTTTAACTGGTAGGAAAATTGGACTTGTGTGATGATTTAATTCAAATTCACCACCAGGATGAATGAGTATTTTAATTTAATTTCTCAGATCAACATATTAGAAGATGGTGTAGTCTCTGTTGAACAGAAGTATAAACAGACTGGTGGGGGTGGGGTGAACGAATTTAACTAATAACTTTTCTGGTCTTACATTCCTTTTTCAAATCAAATGTCCTTGTGCAGTGTCGATATTTAATGTTTCACTCTTCACATTTAAACCACACATCAAAGTAACAACTATTATCTTTTGTACAGTTGTATTCTCATTTACTTGAATTCTTGCACGCACAAAAATTTAACAATAATTTTTTTATGTACAAATATGAAGCAAATATAGGAAAAAAGACACCATATTCAGTTCTATCTTAACATATAATAACAAAATAATAAAATAACATGACAAATTCTACCATACAATATTGATAACATAATTATCACCAATAATTTACATAGTTACACAATTAAAGAAAGCATAACAACTTTTATTATTTCATTTATATGAAATAGAATGGCTTTAGAACACATATAAGTTATTTCAAAATACAAATATAAAACAATTTAAGTTTTAAAATAGAATGAGAAAGTAGATATCTAAATATATACTGCATAATCTTTCTCACTGGCCATCCATGAAAACATTCTAAAGTGTATTTCACCCTCAACTGTATTCAATTTATTTGTTCAGCATGAACTGAGGCCTTTGTGCCGAATTGCCGATGCTACAAGTGACAAGCTCAAGCACATATATATTGTGGTAAACTTTCCATTAATTGCATGTGCTCACTATGAAACTTTTAAACAAACAGCTGTTAGATGTCTAGTACATGAGGATCTAGTACATTCTTATAAATCAAGTCTCCTCTTTGAAGTCTAGCTTTCTCTACTGTGATTGGTTAAAACAATTTTTGCAACTCTTCTTTAGTCTGGGTTGGTGCAGAAAAGTAGGACATTAACCCCCATTTCATTTCATTTATTACAATAGAAATGAAATGAAATGGAGTTTTATGGCACGTCATTATTACAATAGTGTCAACCAAAGAAAATAAAATGCCAAAAAATATGGTTTATTTTTCATTATTAATATAGTAGAAGTCAAGGAATATATATGTTCTAGTTTAAATTTCTGATCAAATTTTCATAATTTTCATTTCTTTAACACAATTTCAAATAGCACGATTGTGTGCAAGCAAAATAGTAAATATATAGGAAAAAAAAGCAATAGAATAAAGACACATGAATTTACTAATAAAGGACCATCAAAATATTGTGCTTATTGATGGCAAAATACAAAATTAATGATAAGTGGAAATCTAGGTTTGTCAGGTTCAAATTACTGATGTATGTACATGTATGCCAGGACTTTCACTTCCAAATTTTGCCAGGTGGTCAATTTTTCACTTATTTTGTTTACCTAGGATTAGCAAGATATTTTTCATCAAAGAATGAGATATCTCTTAGCATTATCCCAAGTTCATAAGTCCTAGACATTTAACTGTATTTATTCTAATTTCTAACAGTTTTTCAGCTAATCAATATCACAGCCAGGCTGTGAGGACATACGTATATGATTGAAATTGTATACATTTTGTAATGATTGATACCGAAGGGAAATTGTAAATATTTATAAAAGGATTTTTGTTTAGATTTCAAAGTATAGATTTATCAACAAAAAAATAAAACCCCAAGATACCAGTATAAATGAAACAGGGAATATATATTCGATCAATGTAATTAAACAAAACCATTATATTTATTCTATCAATCACATTACTTTCAAACGCCATATTTAATTGACTGTGTTTATAAAAAATAATTGTAATTCTCAAATCATTTATATACAAGCCAGGCAATGATCTATGTTTAACAGAAATTTATCATCGAGGTCCTAACTAATTTTTTTCATTTTCAGTTAGATTGAAAAGCTATCTGATTTAGAGGGCCTGTGCAGTATACTCCGCATGGAGCCTGAAACATCCCAAGCCTCTCACTGGTTTGTACTGAATGATAAAAACTACATCTAAGGTATGAACAAAAACTCTGTAGAGGCTTTGTCATAGATACACATGCATGCATATACAGCGACAGTTTACAAATGTATGCTGCTATCCAATTTCCAATTGGGATAAAAATTGTATACAAAATATAATTCCTTAATTGGGGTTTAAGTCCACACAATACAAAGTAGGTTATATTGTGAGACTAACATGTGGTATATTTCTATTAAATGTGGGAGAGAATGATTTAAATACTGTACAATAAATCTACAAATTATTCCAAAAGGGGTATCAAGAATGGTGGCACAAAAATGACATAATTACGCAAAGCAGTAACAAAATATAAACACATACTCATGTCCATGCATAGATCTGTTTGTGCTTTTGAATTTGTTTACAATATCGTGGATATTAACCGTTCTACAATCAGTTGAATAAACGCATATTTTCACCGATTACAACAGCTCAGCAATGATCGCCATGTTTTTATAATAACAATGGGACTGACAAAACTATGAAAACATGATTCTGTGTCATACAGGACATTCTAGACTTGCAATTAAGCTACAGAAAAACAGAAAACACTAGATCAATTCTACTTGTATAATGTATACATTTTGAAATAGAACCATTTTAATGTTAACTTCTTAATCCAATAGATGGTACAAATCATAACAGGTTAACCCTTTAGGACCTAGTACCTGTAAATAATGACTATTTCAGTTCCTTGAAAAAAAAATAGGAAAAAGGATCTTTTTTTACAATGAGTTTTGTGGATCATTTTCAAAACTGCCTCAAACTACAGCTCCCTGAATCACCTGATCAAAGAACAGAACTAATGTACGGTCCTAAAATATTTCACTGTTATTTACTTGACTTAGTTAATTGTGGCACAAGAGGGAGTAGTAGTTTCTACCGGTCCAAGTGCTATATGATTAAACCAAATTACGAACCCTAAATCATGAATTCATTTCACCATATAGCACTCGGTACATGTAAATACTGACTACCCCAGTTTCTTGAAGACAATATATAGTTATATCTCTGAACAGCTCGAAACCGACCAAATCTACTGTTTCTTAGATCGCATCAAATTTTAAGACCTTTTATTGGATTGGTGGGGGGTGGGATGGCCGAATGGTTAGCACGAGCGCGTTGTATCATAAGGCCTGTCATTGAGTCAACTAGCGTGGTTTCGAATCCCCGGTTGTACGTGACAAGGAGTAGGGTCCCCTGTTCAACCTCGTGGGTTTTCCTCAGGTCCTCCCACTGCTAAAAATCCGTATACGCAAGCAAATTGTTGAAATATAATTAAAACATATGTTAGTCCCGAAATGACCTAGTTTGTGTAGAGTGGATGTTAAATCACATTTCTCTCTCTCTCTTTTATTGGATTGGTTCTTGGGGGAACCACAGTTGTTCATGCAAGTCAAATGGTTTGAGGTGGTCTAAGGAGCTCTAGATAGGGAGGTTTCAGAATGTCCAAGTGCTAAAGAAATAAGCTTGTTTCATCATAATCTTGTTATCCCTTCTGAAAGATAAGGACAGATTATTGTCTACACAGAAACTGATATTGTCAGTTATATACAACAGATATCTGAACACATTTTATCTAAAAACATTCAGGAGTACAGCTAATGGTCAATTTGTGTATTTTGCATTCAGTAGTCTTTAAATTTAATGTGCTGCAGGCAAACTATAAAGATAAGTATTAACTTTTGACCTAAATCAATCAGGTTTAGCACTGACTGTGGGACACTTTTTTGGTTTCACTTCCAGGTTGGTTGCTTAATCGGTTAAATAGAATTCTATCAATCTCACAAACAGGGACAATTGACAAACGGACAAATGACCATCCCCGATATCTTACCTGGGGTCTGAATCAAAGCTTTCACTTTTTAGCATTATAAAAAATACACATAAAAACTATAAATTTAACTATCTATTAAGTTTTAAGGTTGAATTCTTTGACATTGTAATTTTAGATCATGTAACTTAACTGATAGGTGGCAAGTTCTCCAGTCTGGCAAATATCACTGAAACGAGAACTCTTATCTGTGTCATTGGCCAGCTAGAACTCACATAGATAGTAGTGAATGGATGGCTATAAGCTGATAAGAACATCTTAACACTGGCTTATATACATTTCTTAATATAAATGTACTTATTTATTAAATTAGAGCTAAATCAGCTAGAAATCAAACATAAATTCAGTCTATTTATTACAATCACAGACAAAAACATGATTAATAATCTATAATCCCTCTAATAATAATATATCATAATCCATTTCTGTACAATTATATAAATAAACATATTCACAAACAGCAAAATTGTGTCTTTTATTAATGCCTGCTGTGATGTTTGTCATGACCACGATAACCACCATTGTCATTACGATAGTGGTTGTTATGGTTACCATTAGTATTTCTGCTATACGATGATTTACCATGGAAACTGTGAGACTTCCATGGTTTTCTGTGAGAATCATGTGAACTTGTTCCATTTGGCTGAAATCAAAACAATGAGCAATGAAAACTATGTTATATGCAATAATGAAATGAAATGGGGCTTAACGTCCTACTGTTTTGCTCCGACTGGGCTAATGAAGACAGGCATGTGCTATGAGGAAAACTTTGCCCTAGTATTGAATTCCAACTGCCAAGGGATCTTTTATATGCATACCAATGTGTGCAAAGGACTTCGGTTTTTCGTCCCATCCATACTGCACAACTGACAAGCGGGAACAAGGCCTGAAATCGCGATGAACTTTCTCGGTCAATGTAAGCAATAATAGTAAAACACAATTTCCATGATTTTTATAACTTGCCCAAGCCTGAACATAAGACATTGTCTGGCACAAATTCAGACTTGTCAGGTACAAAACTTCAGTGCCTGTCATTTGGTCTGGCACACGTTTATCTTTTATCAGTAATTTTTAAAATACCACATTACAAACTTGGTTTTAGTTCATTATTTTGTAAAAATTCAAATGTATAACCAGGTTGACCCTCGATTTCTGTAAAAATAAGCACATTGTTTTGTCTCGCGCCAGAACCACCCATGAAGAGTTATGACCAGGCTTGATAAAAATGCAGAAGGTTTTTTCCACCTATGTCAGGATTGGAACCAGGGACAGTCTATTCGAGAGTCTACCGAGAACCACTCGAAGTCTTGAACCTTCTAACTTCATGGTTAGAAAACTAGAAGATCAAAACTCAAAACTAACCTTTTTATTTCTATAATCCTGTGTTTTTTGGAAAGGATTATATCCAAGTGGTTGTTCCTCATGTTTTGTTTTTACTTTCTTCACCTGTAATTATAAATAAAAATATAAAATTTATTATATAGTTCATTGATAATGGTCGTGGTTGTAGCTGGTGATTTAACACTGGTTTCTACATGTAAAGTAGTTATATTGCAGACAATAAAAAAAAAAAGATGGGGTTCAACGTCCACTGGGCACAAACTAGATAGGTCATTTCAGAACTAACATATGGTTCAATTTTATTGCAATAAATCGCTTGCACATTAGTGCCTTTAGCAGTGGGAGCAAATTGTAGAACCGAGAGAAAAAGAATAAAATTTATGGACAGATGACCCTACTCCTTGTTACAATTCCCCTTGACTCAATGACAGAGAGAGAGAGAGAAATGGGGTTTAACGTCCACTCGACACAAACTAGGTCATTTCGGGACTAACATATGGTTTAATTTTATTTAAATTAATCGCTTGCGCGTAGGGGTCTTTAGCAGTGGGAGGAAACCGGAGGACCCGGAGAAAACCCACGAGATTGGACAGGCGACCCTACTCCTTGCCACGTACAACCGGGGATTCGATACCACGCCAGTCGACTCAATGACAGACTGTATGATACAGCGCGCGCACGCTAACCATTCAGCCATCCAACCCCCCGACTCAATGACAGACCGATTGGTCAAAAGCGCATGCATTAGACTATTCAGCCACCCAGGATTTTCGTCCCTGTCCAGCACCACTGATGGGGGTGACTCATGCAGGAAAAATCCTGATGAACTTCCTGGGCAACACAGGAATAGTATGATTTGCCCATGTAGGTTTAGCAAGATTGCTTCATGAAATGTTAACAATCTTTTCAACAATGGTAGAGTGTTCTTCATTTCTGTTTTCAAGAAAGTATTATATTAATTTACAGAACAAGAGTTATTCATTGGATGATTAAACTATGGCTTGTAACCATTGCTTGAATTATATTAAGCTTAAAATCAGTCATTTAGAACTCTGCAGAAAAATTCTGAACACCCAATTAAACTGCACATTAAAAGTGATCACATGTAGTGAATGTGATCAGGCAATATTACAGGGTTAGTTTAACTGTGAACACATTAAAGATTAATATCATTATCAGTTGAGTGTTTCAATGGCATTTAAAAACAGTAATATTACCAGTATTAAAATAACAGATAACAGTAAATCAAAATATTTATGTGGCATTTAGAAATTGTACTGGGAATACATAGGACACAATTCCTGTGTATTACATGTTTCAACTAAGATTTTCTAGTCTTTATCAATCAATAATACAATAACAAAATAATGTGACTTTATCATACATGTAAACAACAACTAGAGCAGCATAGGTTGATGAAATGTCACTTATCATAACTTTGTAAATACTGAAGGGAACTGAACCATTTTTGGACCGATATTCCAATTAGAGATTAAACTTTGTAGTTTGCAAGCGAGTCCTATTGCACTAAAATGACACATCAAGACTTTAATATAAACAACTTTGTATCTGTATTGCATAGAATTGTGTGTTGTGTAGATATTTACTGATTGTTAATAGAGAAGAAATGAAGAGAATCAGACTAGATTTAGACTGACCTTTCCTATATCATATTCTTCATCATATTCATCATTTCTATCTCGACGTTTATATCGATCTTTATCAACATCTATATCTACCTTACTCCTACTACCATCCCATGATAAGACTGCAAAATATAGTAAATATAGTTATAAATCAAATCAAATCAGTTTTAATATCTTACTTTAATTCACCAAGAGGAATAATGATGATTTTTCCCCCACCATAGAGTAGCATTTGATTTGTATTTACATATGTAGCTTGAGGGTCTGTTACATGTATCTTGAGAAAATGAAATGAAAATCAACGAAATGGGGTTTAACGTCCTACTGATCTGCTCCAAATGGGCTAATTAAGATGGGCATATGCCATACAGTGTGCTATGAGGGTAATTTTGCCTGGACAGCCACACTACGGCCTACTCTTATATAGAATTCCAACTGCGAAGGGGATGTTTTACATGCCCACCATTGTGTATACAGGACCATGGTTTATTAATTATTACAGGAGCAACTTTCTTCTATATCTACAACATCTACACTCTTCATAATTATATTGTCCGGTAAACTATGTATTTAAACGTATTAACTGTATACCACAATAATCAAGTTTAAAAGTCAATACTGAACCGAAAATGTACCAAAACATTGATTTCTGACATATCAAATGAACAGCAAACAAAAGTGCTGATGGTCGGGCTATTTATAGCAAACATGTTCAGACTACTGTAGTGTTTAACTTTTAATTAAGTCATAGAATTGACTCAAAGCCCAAATTTCCGCAAAAACCACAAAAAGGCATCATGAAGAAATTATTCAACATCTTGTGATTTAATATTGAGAATTGCGAGACGGAAAATCACGATGCATCGATTCAACAATATATCATCCAAACACTAGTAACAATTTGACATTAAGTCTGTTGTAGTGAGAAATTAACCCGTAAGTGTTGTAAAAAGTACAACCAAATATTGTTAGATGTGTGAAGTGGTATAAGGTGATCATGAAAGATTTGGCAAACTATAGATCAGTGATTCCCAAAGTTTGTTTCCCTGAACCTCAGAGTTCTTTAAAAAAAATTCAGGGGTTCCATGGAATAAAATTTAAATATAAAAAATCCAATTATCCAAAAATAATCCAAATTTCCAGAGGATTCTGGGGTCCATGAAGCAGAAGGTACTTGCTTTATATTCAAGTTTTTAAATCTATTTTTTAAGTTTTCTCTGTATCCTCACCATTTAATATTCTTAAATATAGGTAGGTGGTTACACATTTTTATAATTAACATCAAAGGATTCCATGGCAAAAAAGAATTGGAAACCACTGCAATAGATAGTTAAAACCAGTGCTGTATTAACTCATCTGGGTTAAAACAACAAATGCATCTATTTTAAAGCTAACATACCGGAAGATCCATAACCATGCATAGAAGATTTCTCTAACTCGTGTACAACCGAATTAGATTTCCTTCCATCCCACGTTGAAAAAATAGGCTTGGGTATTTCTTCTTTCTCATGTTTACGATGATTATCATTAACATAGTAATCCCACGGTACAGCTTCAACTAATACATAAACAAACAAAATTAACTTTATAATGCTATAATCTTTAGTGGAATCAAGGCGAGAATTCACATTTACTGTGAAAGATCAGCCACAAAAAGCTTCTGCAGAAATTATATATTCTAAAAAAATCAGATATTAAAGTAAATAATCTCCTGGCTTGGATTCAATCAGATTTAAAAAAGGTTTATCAAATAAATTCAGAGATTCAACTTTCACTATATTGTAATTTGCAAGGAATTAACAAGTAACAACAACAAAAAAAAAAGAAGTGAATTAACCTACCCTGCTTAGAATGGCTATCTGTTGTTTTCTTAGTATCTTTCATTTTATTGGCTATACAATCAACCGTTTTTTCAACCCATTCATATTCGTTGTCTTCATCATGGTTAGCTTTATGTTTTTTCTTCCCTTCTTTCTCGTCCTCCCTGTCGACTGATTTTCTCTTGGCTTTCTTTGCCCTTCGTTCTTCACTTGAGTCATATTTATCTTCTTTACATTTTTTGTGTTTCTGTTTTTTCTTCTTGTGTTTAGCAACGGGAGTGTCTTGCGAGCTACTACTTTCGTTTTTAAGTTCTGTATATTTGCCCTCGTACTCTTTCTTATGCTTCTTATGTTTCTTAGATTTTTTATGGAGGAAAGAATGTTGGGGGGAATTGGGTTCCGACAGTAAATGTTGTGTCTCCGAAATATCAACCCGCATTCGGTTATAGAGCAGGTCACCCATTTCAAATTTGTCGCAGTTTTCTTTTCTTGTTTCTGGTTTGGAACCTTTTTCTGAAATTGATTCTGTGAGAAATCCTGGGTTTGACACGCCATTTGTAAACGATATATCGGTTAAATCAGAAGTGTTGTTATTACAACTTATGTTCTCACTTTGTTTCAGATTATTTAGCACTATTGGATCATCATGATTGACTGTCTTTTGCGGAGGATTACAATTAACGTCGCCATCTTTTTTCTTTACCGATTCCGACACTGAATTCTCGGATCCATTTATCAGCTTGATATTTTCGTCTGTAGTAATCTTGACGGCTTTTTCTTCCAATGAATTGGTCTGAATGTCAGTTACTTTCCAATTGTAGTGGTTACGATCGACAGGTTTTGCGTGTTTTGCTGTATTTTTATTCCCTGTGACATGCCATTCTGATGTAGAATTGGTGCTGCTATGATTACTGCTAGAACACGGACTTGGCGCCGAATCGTGAAATTGAACCTGCCAGTTGGCATCAGTTGCATTCACTTTTGGTGAAGATATACAAGATAGTTCCATCTCTTTCGGGGGATGCTTGCCATTTGGTTTATTGAGCTTTAAAAAGAGGTCTTTATTTTTAGGTGTTGAAGTGTCAAACTTGTCGCTGCCATTGTCCCTCTTCTCCTTAGCATTAACAGTTTCTAGTAGCTTAGAATTACCAGGCACTGATGTGGTCGTGTTGAGACTACTGTCCATAACAACATTGTCTGATAGTGTCGACGCCCTGTATTTTAAGCCGACCTCGGCCAAATTATTCACAGATTCTTTCTGAGATCCATTTTTTGAACCGTTGTCGATGTCCGAATCCGAATCATCTCCATATGGCACAAGCTTAGATTTCTCCACTTTGCTGCCATTAGAGATCTTTACTTTGTTTTCTGGAGAAGTTTCGCTTGTGAATACTTTGCCGTTTTTAATACGCATGACTAATCTAGGTTTCTCCGTTTCATCTTGAGCTTTATGATATTGAGGTTTGATACCAAATGAGACTTTATCGTGTTTATCAGGTAAAATAGACGGAGATGGAGAAAAGGAATTTTTAATTTTATCTGGAGAGAAGAGAGGTCTATCAGGTGAAAATAGAGGTTTAGAGGTTGTTATTGTGGATGGTTTTCTAGAAACAGCTACACCCACTTCATTAGTTGGTTGACCTGTAAAATATAAACCACATCACTTATAATTTATACATACTTGTCATTTCATTTTCATATAAATTTTTTGTCATTTTTTTTAAATAATTTATTTTTATTTTTTTTGTCAATTAGGGCCTACAAATTATGTCAATTAAAGACATGGGACTGTGCAGTGCAATGGACACTTATAAACATCCACCGGCCCCATTTGCTTTGTATGAAAGTTTCGTTATGTCTGTTTTCTTGTTGTGGGTGTCTTAATTCTTCTGTACTAATTTTTGTTGTTTTATTTATCACTTGAAAGGAAATCTTTAAGTCATTTGGAGACTGATATACAACAGGTTTTATTAGTAAGGGGTGGCTACACGAGGTGTGCTTCATACCCATTGACTATTAGTTCCAATTTTCATGGGGATATCAGTATTCTAATGATAAAGAACACTGCTAGTGTTATATCCAAATGATGAGATCATTATAATCCAGGTACTATTTAATCTTGTGTATTTAGCACTAATTTCTTTCACATTCATTCAATATCAAATCTTTGTTTAAAAATTCGTAAAAATCATGTAAAGCTGGCCATTAAATTTTGATAATGAGTGTTCAATTTACAAGCGTTTAATTTCCTCCATCACTGTTAAAAAAATAAACAACTCAATTGATTATTGATGTAGAATGATTAATTTTTGAACATTGAACAGTGGTCATGAAATTAAACACTCATTATCAAAATTAATCAGTCAGCTTTAAACTGGACACAAATACAAATGAGATGATTTTGGGTGATTTTAAATAATTTTTACGAATTTTTGACAAAGATTTGATAATAAATATATGCTAAAGAAATTAGTCCTAAATACAGAAGATTAAATGATATCCGGGTTACAAGGTAAGATGAGATCTTTCTCCAGCATATTTTGAGCATCATACTTGAAAAGAATAATAATTTTGAAAAGTAAAAAAAACTTTAAACTCACCTGCAGGTGTAGACGTCTGTTTAAAATTGTTTTTCTGTAATTGGTTAATGACAGGTTTTGATGGACCAATAAAAGATGACTGAAATAAACCATTTTTAATTTATCTCACAAAAGCTAATGAAATGAGGTTAACATACTACTAATTTGCACCAACCAGGGTAATGAAGACAGGCTCTTCAAGGGTTCTCTTGTGGCAGGTCATACACCTTGTTTTTTGCCACTGTGATTTCACATTATTCACATCTACTTAATTCACAGTCCAGGTAGCCAGTCAGTAAGCCCCCTGAATGATACATTCAATTCAGACTCTTTTCTAAAATGTACCTAAGGGTATTACTCAACTTTTTCACTCGTCCAATTCCTGCGATCCTTCCACATCCATTTTTATGGACATTATTGATGGCATATCAAATGACACGAAATGGGGTTTAACGTCATACTTTTAAGCACTAACTGGGCCTATGAAGGCTGGGTACACCACAAAGTGTGCTATAAAGAAAAAGTTGCACGGAAAGGATTCTACGGTCAATTCGTATTTTGATTTCCAACATGTTGGTAATGGTGAATACGGGAACATCATTCATATCAAAAGGAAAATGATGTATTTCTTCTTCTAAAATCAGTATCCCAGGAATACTCAGGTTTAATTGAATGACACTTTAATCAACTAACCTTTGTTGGTGTGTTTTGTTTATAACAATGAGTTTTAATATAAAACAATAAATAGGCTTCAGCATTAAACACTCGACCAGCTCCCACTTGCTCAACCTGAAAATCAAATACATCCATATTAATAAACCACGGACAGGCCAATATAAATAGATAGGTGGTGATGAGTAGCATTTTAAAATATTTATAGGCCGGACAGCTACAATTCTGGTTATTCTAAGAATTAAAATTGATAATATGGGATCTTCTACCACACATAATGAATTTTTCTATCTTTATCTTACAAATCATACAAATAACATGCTACACTATGACTTCATTGTAGTGCTATAATTAGGTACAGACACAATCACTCATGTACCTGTCATTTGTTTGACATGGATTTGTCTATTTGCAGTGTTTTAAATGATGTTTTGTCAAGTAAAACAAAAATGATAATTTCAAGACATTACTTGTTAACCATGGATACCCCACAGCTTTATACTGGAACTCTGTGTATAGTGAGATTCCATCATATTTATAGAATCAAGTTGTACTTACCATAGAATCATTCATACAGTACCACACTTGACTTGCTGATTTAACAAAACAATAATAATGTCCAGAATTACAATGATAACCAGAATGTACTAGAACACCATATAGTTGATAATTCACAGCATCACCCTGTATAACATAAACAAATAAATAACTGATGCATACACCATGCAATTGTGCCCTGGTGATCTTTAACATGCTACCAAAGGAATAGACATTTTTCCTTGTCAGGTCATCTAACCTGCACCAATGGCATGGGGAAACCAGACTGAACACTGAGTTTACTTAGTGGAAAATTGAACAGGCTGTCACATGATATTAAAAGTGATTGATTTCAATTTTTGAAGCACTGCACTGCTTATTTGACAACCTTCATTAATACTCAAAGATTTATAAATGTAATTTTTCAGCCCAAATCTAACCATTAAGCCAGTCATGTTAACACTTGAATGTCTTCATAAGATACGTAACTCACTATACAGCATTCCTTTAGACAGTATTTATTATTATCTATATTTGGTGATGAAAAAACCACATCAAATTAACAGAAGGTGTTTTGGTATATGACATCAAAGGATCGATATTTTATCTGCTGGGTTAAAATTCATAAAGATATGATGTATTAACTCTATAATTACCATATACGTTTGACTTGTCTAGATTGACGTATTAACTCTATAATTACCTGTCTTATACTCATGTATGGTCGTAAGTTTAATTTACCAGGAAACTGTATATGACGACTTATTTTACCCATCATACGATTATAATCAAATCTACAATAGAAAACAATACCATTAAAGTATAAAATATCGCCAACTTATTTATTAAAGATGCATTATGCAAGATCTAAATCTGCCTATTGCATGTCTTTATTTTGGCTTCAAATTTTATATTAACTATTATTTGGACATTTATTCACATGACAGGCTTATAATCAACCCTCTCGATCATCTGATGACTGAGATTTAAATGGATTAGGTCGCCTGTGAGATTTAACCAGCGGTTGCAAGGTAAGCTACGTCCACAATTTGGAAGAGATGGACAGAGAACAAGCTAAAAAAATGAGATTGTTTGTACAATCAGGGGTCATAACCAAGTTACGGTCTGATACCCACAGATATCGAAAGGAACCAAGATTTTTGGAATATAAATATATATTTTAAGTTTCATCAAGATCGAATAAAAAATTGATATTACATACTTTTACACTATTTGCTTACAAGTAGTAGTCATTTTGTCAAGCAGTTTTGGTCTGATTTTCACAAGATTTGAACTCAACCATCATTAGTGTGTAACGTTGATATATTTAAACTTTTTTTTAAATCAGATAAAAAATGTGACCACACGATAAAAACGTGATTTTTAGTACAATCAGGGGCCATATGCGCGAATAATGAAAGAAACCGAAATTTTTGGGTTATAAACACACTAGCTCTTTATCTAAATCTTACATAATACATCTTTAAGGGTCAAATAAGCCACAATTTGGTGTTATTCATGAGACAGAGCAATATTTGTGTATAAAGAACAAACTGGCATTTCTTTAACCATCAAGGATATCTTTAAACTATTCAAACCCGAATATCAATGGTCTGAGTTAACAACTCGTTGACAATATTTGTGGAATGCAAGAGGGAAAACTGTGCCTAGACAGCCACATTGCCACCTACATTTTATAAATGGATATCTTTATGGTACACTATCAATGCATACATAAGTTTGTTGAATCAACGGACTGCCATATTCCAGTTTAGGGATCAGTGCCACAAAGTAGGCTCGAGAAAATAAAATTACCTCTTAAGCTGTACTGTTAAAACATTAGGAGCTTTATGAATGGAGAATCTCTTGTGAGCTGGAACTTTATGTTTACACCTATAACCATAATCAAATAAAAACATAACTAGTAAACAATTCCACGGGAATATTTCTCTTAAAAAATTTATCTATGAGTTACTCTTCTTGCAATATTGTTTTAAAATAAATCAGATATGACATATTTGAAAAGAGCAAAAGATGCACTTCCAATGACAGCACAATGAAGCCAATCTTTCAAAAGCGAAAGGAGTGTAAATAGCTGACCAAAATGGTTAATACATTAAGTTAGGATTAAAAACACAAAAATATTTCCCTTTAATAACTTGATATATGAAATGAAATTGGGTTTAACATCCTAATTTTCTGGACCAACTGGGCTAATGAGAGAGAGAGAGAGAAATGGGGTTTAACGTCCACTCGACACAAACTAGGTCATTTCGGGACTAACATATGGTTTAATTTTATTTCAATAATTCGCTTGCGCATAGGGGTCTTTAGCAGTGGGAGGAAACCGGAGGACCCGGAGAAAACCCACGAGGTTAAACAGGCGACCCTACTCCTTGTCACGTACAACCGGGGATTCGAACTGGGCTAATGAAGACCGGCACATGCTATTCAGTGTTCTATGGGGGAAATTTACCCCTGGACAGCTGCACAACTGACCTACTCTTCACCAAATTTCTGTCAACGATTCTTTTACATGCATGCAAGTATGTACATAGATGAACCACATTTGAAAGACTAAGCAAAACTTTTCTTGTGATGATAAATCACCTGGGGACATTTTTTCAAATGTAACTAAATACAAACACACACAAGAGTTTAATTCAAATATTTATCTGGCAATAAGGCCACACACAAAAAAATATTCTGGTTTTATTTATTCATATTTCCCCGCAATCAAGGGAAGTAACTCTATAAAACGTTTCTTGAAAAGAGGAACTGAACACTAGATTCAGCTATCAAGTACGTAATCATGGGAAACACTACTGACAATCACTGGACAGCATTGGATAATTTGTTAATATGTTATTCTGCAATGATGGAAACAATTTTGCTGTCAATTTGGGTTTTTTTTTACGTTCATAATGACTTTTCCAGTGGACTATTTTATCTTTCCCGAGAACTATGACTGCGAGAGAGATGACCGTGACCATAAGTATCGAGGGTGCAGAGTTTGATTTAAAATCGCCAGCAAAATCCATGCTTTGACACTCAGTACAGTATTGATACCACATAATGGTCACCAATAGAAAAATGTTTTCCAAGGAGTAAATCTGGATGAAGTTGTGGAATCATTCGATCGTTATTTCAAAATCTTTTTTATTTTTTGTTTTTCTTATTAAGAGTTAAAAAGACATTAAATTTATAATAATTATGCGTGTTTCATAAAAATGAAAAAATAGCCAGATCTTAGCAGAATAAAAGCAAAAACCACTCTCCTGCATCAATCTTTTGGGAAGGATTGTCTGATAACCAGAATATTTTTTTGTGTAACCTAACAATATGCCTACCTTGGACACATATAAGCATTCTCGTTATCTAGAGTTTCTGGTTGAACATATTTCTCAAAAGCCTTCTCTAAATTATTAACATTCTGAAAGAGAAAACAAAAATGAATAATGTTAAAAACTTGGTTTTTTTTTTATAAATAACATCTTATTCAGATTTTTACCTAAATATGGAGTTGGGAATAGGCATAGCCTATATTAGTATTACACCCCTCACCATCAAAACCTTGTTCATGAAGTTGTTTTTTTCATATGCATGCCAATGTATACATGAGAACTTGTTTTTGTCTCATCCGAACAACTCATGGTCACTGTTATTTGCTAGGTACTCTTGCCCTGCTGTCAAAGGAAAACCAAATTGAGGAACTTTTATTTAATGTTGACATATAAAAATTATTCAATCTTTTTTTAACATATTATGTCTCAGAAAGTCAAATGAATTCTCTTAAATACTTGCAGGCAGTGTATTAAAAACATTGGTGTTTACCTTAATATCAAGACTTATATCCATAAATGGATCATATGTGTTGGATCTCTCCTTGCATTTCATACATTGCACTGAAAAAAAATATAACATTATATACATATAGCCTAAAAGATCACATTTGCACACAAAACATCTGAAATCAGATAAGCTTATTGTTCATACTGTATTGAATCCAAATTCGAAATATTTCACTAAAATGTTAAAAACAGCTATGACTGGATCATACCAACATAACATAGGGGTGTACTATGGACCAAGAACAGAGTATGACATCTTCACGGTCATCTTGAAATTTTGAAATATCAAAAATCGAAATGTGTCAATCAATGAACATGCATGCCCAGTTTTGTGTCGATCGAAATTAAATTGGAGAAGCCATTGACTTTTTTGAAGAGCGTCACCCACAATAACAACAAGATGAGTATGGCTTGGTGATGAATCCCCGATCCAAAAATTCTCTCTTCTGTTGAGTTAAAGTACAATACAACAAATATTACCTTGACTTCTTAGAAAGCCACCAAATATCTGATTGACAACAGTAGTTTCCTTACTAAATTTATCTAATCTAAAATATAACATATTCATACATTAGACAATATCATAACATTTAGTTTCCCCCAGTATAAAGGAAATGGGGTTTTAACTTCTTACTTTCCTGCACTAATGAGGCTAATGAACATGCAAAATGAATATGAAACGATTAGAAATTTCAGATATTGCATAGTAAAGTTGCACGCCATTGAATATGCCGGTGGACCACAGTTTTTTATCCCTCAGTATGGCTTGCCTGGCTCTTTGTCGTGCATCACTGAAAAGGAAAACCAGATTCGAAAACCCTGAGGCTCTTTCTTGGCCAATACCAAAATCAAACGCAGACACTAAAATAACATTACTATCAGGCTTTATATGAGTTCCGTACAGTATCTATATCAAAAATCGGCGAATTTGAAAACATTTTCCCAAGAAGTAATCTACATGAAGTCACAGAATTATTTGGTCGTTATTTTAAAATCTTACTCATATTTATAATAATTTTGTGTGTTTTTTAAAAATGAAAAAATAGCCAGATCTTAACAAAATAAAAACAAAAAATCAATTTTTTGCAAAGGATTGTCCGAGAACAAGAATTTTTTTTTTTGTGTGTGGCCTAAAATTACTATTAGGCTTTATATTTCCTCAATATATTATAGATAACAATTTGTACACAAATATACAGGGTTTTTGCATTTTTTCTAAAACTTTAACTTATTTATGGTCTTAATCACAGAAATTTTGCAAAAAAATACTAGAATTCACTCATACAAGAATTAAGATCATTAAAACAAAATGAAGAATGACTTACGTAGCATAACACAGACATTTTGCACAAAAAAGCTAGAATCCACTCAAATAAGAATTGAGATGATAAAAACAAAATAGAGAATGACTTACTTAGCATAACCATTTAAACAAGACTTCTGTAATCCATCTATCACATAGCGTAGAAATTCATGTGCATCTTCTTGTCTTCCCCAGTGCATATGTTTGGCGATCACTAAATAAAATTATGGATTTCATTATTCATTTTTCTTATAATTTCTATTAATCATATATTGAGATGGTTTAATGTGGCATTTAAGCTCAAAACCAATGAAATGAAATGAAATGGGGTTTAACGTCCTACTGTTCTGCTCCGAACTGGGCTAATGAAGACGGGTAAACCAAAACAGATATCAATTTGAGACCAATGTAATATGTCTGGAAATAACTATTTTACTTGTACATCTACTTGACATTTTGAATTTCATGCCCCGACAGTATTGTAACTGTCATCAAAAACAATGGAAAAAAAGACATCTGTACAAAACTCACAGGTACCGGAGCAGAAGTGGCTTGACAGCTCAAAAAAGTTACAAATGTTTATGCTTAACAAACTTACTTTTTAGTTTTTGTAGAATTGACTGAGGTTTGATAGCATGGCCCCCATTTTCATAACTTCTTCTTACATGTCTTTGTAATTCACACATCAAACAGAAGCCAGCCTGTTTACCTGAATTATACAAATACAAATACATTGAAACTACATGTATGGATTTTGATTGTCATAAAGGCATCATCTGCTAATGAATTTGTTTTCAGATCTTTCTTTTACAAGAATCCATCAGAGGAATATTTGGTGAAAAATATTTATCATTCAATGATAAAATATATGGAATTTTTAAGTAATAAACAGAGATTACATGTAAATTGTTTGGTTGTTGATAAGAAATGACTTTTTCTATACTTAGTGCACAAGATAGGGTTTGGTTACTCTTGTTAGATGACATGATTCAAATTTTGATTTGGAGATTTCACAGAGCTACCCTTTCTTCACTCACTCAGACACAATATAAAAAAAAACAATATACATACACATGTAATAATACTTACATGTGTTTGCATGTTCCTGAGCTAAACAATAATTAACTAATGGTGGAGTGTAAGTTAGACATTGTAAACACGAGTTGAGAAAACATGTATTTCCCATATTTACAAGACCAGCACCAATTTTGTGGACTTTTTTCCATTCTAGCTGAATATTTTCAGGAGGATATAGTACAACTTTAGGACTAGGAAGCCCATCTCCAGCTTCAAGACTTTTAGATGTGTTCATGTTACCTGGAATAAAACGACAGTTAAAATTTTCAACAACTACAATGCTTATTTTGTCCTGTGATAAAGAGTTTTTATTATTTAGATCTCCTTCGGACAGACATTTTTAAACCAGGTTTTGAGGTACATGTAGCTGAAAAAAGTAAAGTTGGCCTTAAAGTTTGATTAAACTTGTTGGCCTACCTGCCTACATGCACTTATATGAGCATTGCCTAATGTATGGAAAATGTTTGCCTCCTATAGTACAGTATGTGCACAACTGAACATGGCTAATCAACACTAAAACCTCAATGAGAATTATTAGACTATTCAAGGCAATATTTTACCGACAAGGTAAGAATTATTAGTCTAATCAAGGCTTATACTTCACCAACAAAGTAAGAATTACCAGTCTAATCAAGGCTAATAATGCTTCAACGATAAGAAAGAATTATAAGTCATTATATTAAAAGTAAATTTCCTAATTAAAAATTCATTTATCTTTTGTTGTCTGAATGGCATGTACAATGCAATAAAAGAATAGAAAATGCAGTCCTTAATTTACAAAAGTCAAAAATTGCTCTCCCAGTTTAGACATGTAAATAAGTAAAGTTATATAAAAATATAAGTCAATGTTATAAAATAATGTACATGTATGGAAATTACGACTAGCGATTTTCACCTACATGTACATGGATAAGGTTCTATAAAAAATTCTCCATGATTGTCAATTAAGGAAAAGAATAAGTTTACCAGTACTCATGGAAATGCGACACTCAGCATGTTTTTACTTGGTGGCAATTTATTTAACCTTAATTTACATACATTAAATTTAGGCTATAATGACAACTCTCGAACTGACATCTCACTGTAACCTGGGTATCATTTAATCTTCAGTATCTAGCACATATTTCTTTCATATATGTTTAATATCAAATTTTTGTTTAAAAATTCGTAAAAAAAACCCGGTTAAAATCACTATAAATCATCTAATTTGTACTTGTGTCCAGTTTAAAGCTGACCATTTAATTTTGATAATGAGTGTCCAATTTACAAGTGTTTAATTTCTCAATCACTGTTGAAAAATAAACAACCCAATTGATTAATGTAGTATAATGATTGATGTTTGGACAGTGGTCAGGAAATTAAATACCTGTAAATTGGACACTCATTATCAAAATTAATCAGTCAGTTTTAAACTGGACACAAGTACAAATTAGATGATTTTTGGTGATTTTAAAACAAAGATCTGATATTAAACAAATGTGAAAGAAATTAGTACTAGATACACAAGATTAAATGATACCTCGGTTACAGTGTAATATGATCTATATAAAAATGCATAAATACATGTAACTTTTACTTAAGGACATTACAGATATGATGAACTGAAAACTTCAGAACATTCTGCATCTCCTGCAGACAATATAAACAAGCCAGCACCACCTATAAATAGTCTATTAGGAAAAATCATTTGATGGGCCAATTGGATCCAAGCCGGTGTCTGTTTTCTTAATCAAATCCTAAATAATTAATACAAGTAATTTTTCGGGTAGATTTAACTCAATGACAAATTAGGTGTGCATTGTCTGAAAAATGCAAACAACAATAGCGGTTTAAGTACAAGATAACAATTTAAAAGCAATATTCACCATTAACAGTTTTTTCTGCTATGGACGTTTCTCCATAACTTTTTGAGGGATTCAATGGAATGTACTTGGTCCTTAGTGAATCAATCTGTAGACTGTGTGGTTTCTCTGCTAATTTAAAGTCTATCTGATGCAGAAGAACTTTTTTCGCAGATGAAACTAGATTCTCATCGAGACCATCCCCAGCCAAGTTGGCCCTCAATGTCTCTTGTAGCCCCACTATGTTATCTGAGGCACTAGCTGGCATAGCATTGGCATATAGTTACAAAACTGAAAACATAAAATCAAACATATCAATATATTTTCTGGATGAACATGCATTAAAAATATTTCATTTATTATACCAGTACATGACCTATTCGTTTTTTTATGAAGCATAACTTGAAAATACTTGCAAGTACGCGAAAGTTAAAATATTTTGATCCGAAAAATATTGGTTATTATTGATAAATAAAGATCATTTCTGTTCCGAGTTATAGAGTAGGCCTATCCTGATCTGTCATCTATGGCATGCTGACATGAATAATAAAAAAAAATTAATTCTAGAATAATTAACTTTAAATTTTTTAAAACGTCTATGCAAGATTGAAAACTGGCAACTGGGGTGAAAAGTCCAAATTGAACGGCAGTCACTTGCGCCTGCTTAGTCCATTCTACACATTTTCTTATCATTTTGTTTTTTGTGAATCGGCCATTACCGATTACTTCTGCATTGTCGTAGGATGTTTTTCTATGTTCATTACAAATGGCGTCCGAAAACATAGAAATATTTGACTCGTGTACTGATTTTAAAATGTTCATTAAGTGTTAAATATTGGATATTAGGATCTCATACTTAATGGCAAGATAACAAAATCTATATTGATTGAAGAAATGGACCAATACTAATACTGAATTTAATTCATTTTTTTAATTTCTAATTTTATGGATAATACTGAGGTAATGGTTTAGCTCCTTTAACTGGATATTTTGATGATATAAATAAATCTGTATCTTTATTTGTTTGTTTTTATTTACAAATTAATGACAAAACAGACATTTTATTTATTTCGAAATATTAAAATATGTTAATTCAGTATATATTCATTTTTTAAATTGAACATGATCTTCAAAGATTAATGAATAACATCCATAGAAAAGTAGTAGCCCCCCTATTTAACCCATTTTCTTAATACTTGCTTACAGCTATCACTACAATCATTCCAGACGAAATAGGGCAATAATAATGTCTACTCAACAGACAACTGTCTGTCTAAAAATAAAAACAAGTCTTAGTAAAATAAAGCCTTTGAAGAGAGTATCGACAGTTTTGAAACGCACTTGTTGTTATTTAACCCAAACGCATGTGGAAATAGAAAACACAATAAACAAATGATATATGGAAACATGTTGTCCAGTGCCGACCTAGTTTTGTAGGCCATTCACTCGGATCAGAACACGTTGTCGTTTATCTGTCCATGTTTTCCTCCCGGTGTGGCTTTCGCCCACCAATAAAATAATGTATTAACTTGTTTAGCAACAATTTTAAATGAATTTTTGATAAACAGTACATAAATCTACTAAACTGATACAATGGTATATTCGACTTACCTATTCAATTTCGGAGAAAGCAATATATTTTCGGTTACAAATTCAACATTCAGCTTAAAACGCTATGTTAGGCAACTTCCGTTTCGGCGCACTTGTTCCATCCGGGCACTTACTAAACGAAAGTACACATGATCCACATGCTATTTTAAACGTCACAAGCAGAAATGAAATGACCGCTTAGAATTACTTTCAAGAACAAGATAAGATTTTAAAATTGTGTTTAAAGCACAGGTTTAACTGTTTATTCAAGGGACGCTAAAGATGAAAATTCTGAGAAACATACAGAATTTGTCTGTGAAACTTGGAAAAAACACAAAGGGAATTGACGTTTCAAAAGTAAACAATGTGCAACAATGTTTTGCATTTGGTACTGTTCAAACGCCAGTAAGGGCATTATCAGTGTATAATAAAGGGGGAAATGTGATATCCCCTATATGTATCGTAGATTGTAAATATTCATTGTGGTGTGATATACGTCGACGTTATTTTGCATTATCGCAATCCAGATATTGTGATGTTGGTGAAGGTCAACTCAAGAAGTCTATGGAAGAATTAACTGATAAATTTACTGAAGCAAGAGAACTTATGGAAGATGCTGTATGTTTTTGGTTTAGTTCTGTTGGAATATTTAACACTCAATATTTTGCCACATATTTATTAAATTATTTTATGAAATAGACATGTAGAATATATGATTCACATTAATGATAAACTTTAGCAAGCTTTAATCTAATTGGTAAATATTAACAAAATTGGAAACAGCATCTAATAGAATAGAAGAATTACATCAGGCGAAAGCATTAGTCAAAACATAATCCTTTGCTTGGTTTAGACGAAACTGAGCCAGAGCAAAATGACCAACAAAATTAGTTTTAAAAATAAGTTAGATAACATCCTTTTTTCTCCAATATTTTTGAGAATAAATTTATAGATTTTGCATATCATAAAATAAATTTTAGATGCATAGAGTTACCTGAATTACGGTATAGTGCTAGAGAATAGTTCGTTGATGGGCTCAGTGCTGGATTAACCTAGTAGCAAGCTATCAATACAGATTCACTAATTCTACACTTGCTCTGTTACCATAGTAGGCATACTATACTGTCTTCAACCTACAGTATATAAATGACTGTGTGTTTAAGTTTAGCGATTTTTGTCAATTATCACCTTCAAATGGGTGTATTATTTTAACAAAGTGATTAGCATGAGTGGGGTAAGTCTCCCTTTACATAATATAACATATGCTACAGGTCCTGCTCTATATCTTAATCCAGATCTGGACAGGTAATATATATAATACATGTATAATCCCTTCATCACTTTTCATGTTTATCCATTTGAATTATCTATTTTTTAATTTCTTATTATAACTATTTATTTCAGAGAGAAAGTAAAGGGACTGTTTATTTTTCTGATGATGTAATTGATGCTAAGACAGCTGTAGAGGAAACATTAACAGAATATCAAACTTTATTAAATAAAATATCAGATTCACAGAAACAACAGGTGATGAGAACAATCGGATTAAGAATGGAGGAATTAAAAGCACAATTAACAGCTATGGAAGATGAATTGAAGGAGGATTAGATAATTGTATGAATAAAAAAAATAAACAAACCAAAAACATAAGTTGCTGCATTTTATTTATGATCAACAAAAAATTATCATTCAGTATATAAGTGTAATAAAATTATTGAACTTAAAAAAGCTGCTTTTAAAAAGTGATTTATTAATTATGTGATTGCTGTGTACCTTTGTCCCCCAAAGTTACCCTCTATACCTAGCAACTCATGCATATGCAATGGTAGTACATGCTTCCACTTTCTTTAGCTATATGTAGTGACCTAGTAGTAGTATGTTGACATTTGGATGATTTAGAGGCTAAAGTTAATCACTTTAAATTTATACATTGGTGCCCACATTGGTCGTATATTGTCACAATAATTGTACATCAGGTATTTTGACCTGTCTATCCAGCAACAGTACCTTGTGGATGTTCTTCGTGCTAACCCAAGTAATCATTCACTTGATGTGAAAATTATACACTATATTACGGTTCCTGGGACGAAGAAATATTGTTATTGAGTACAATTTCTTGTGGATGCACTGGTGGCTGAAGATATTATTTCGAATTTGATTTTCAATGACTTTCGATAACCCGTCTAGATTTTATCAATTTGCAAATCTTGTGAATGCTCTTTCCGCTAAAGTTATCATCCAGTTGACTTGGCTAAAGTTGTCATTTTCATGAAATTCAGTAGGCCTATACGCGCAACGGGAGAGATAGAGGCGTGGGGCACTAGTGTCGATGTACGAGGGCTGTCTTAAAGCCAGCTATAATGCCCGAGCGCTAACAACACTGCCTTTCAGATGCTTCCAATCGATAGTAGTTTTTAAGAAAATATGAATGTTTATAAATATATGTGTTACACTGCACTGGTTTGAAACATTTACTATTGGTCATGCACTGTCTATCAATAACGTTTATGCAAAGTTTTTAGATTTTGCGGATGGGAGTCAAAAGCCACGTTTACACTTGGCCGCGATAAATTTCAAGAAATTGACCTGTTTACATTACCGGTCTCAGAACCGTGCCAATCACGCCAATTATGGAACTCTTCACAGAAAAGTTAATTTCAGTCAGCAAGTTACCCGGACGAAAACAATTATGACGGTTGATTTAGACAGAACTGATGACAGAGCTGTCAAACTTCGCGGGAAAAAAGGTCACGGTTCATTTTGCCCATGCGCAGTAATCCGTACTGAAACCGTCCGGAGACCGGTTAACGTTTACACTACGAAAATTTACGCGTGCCGTACCTGGCACGGCACGCTTATGTTTGACCCGTTTACACTACAAAAAAAACCGAAGCGTGCCGTACCTGGCACCGTGCCTGACACACTTAAAATTTGTAGGCTAATGTAAACGGAGTTAAAGAGTCATGATAGGGCATAGCTGGTACCAACCCCTCAACCAACTTAAAGAAGAACGTCAGTCGGTTGATCTTAAAGTGACGGTAGTTTTAAAGTTTTAAGTCTTGCAGTATTTTAGTTACGCAGCCGTGATCTCTTGATGAGTAGTAACCTTTCATGAATATGACCGCTTGTCGTTTTACCGTCTCTAATTAAATTTGGTAATGTCTTTGGCGAGAATACGATCCCAAAATATAGCGTTGTACTCCAGCGTTAATCTGGCAGTGCAAGATATTCTGTCTTTCAGGGCAGTGTTTAAGATTTCCTCTGATGAATCCAAGAATAGAGTAAGCTTTCCTGGTAATTTTTATGATGTGAGGACTCCATTTCAGATTGTCAGAAATGTGACTCCTAAGTACGGTTTAGTGTAGACTTGTTGACGGATGTGACTTAATAGCTGACAGTAATATTAATAAGGGAGAGGGGTTTTACATAGGCTAAGCCTGTTCCCCAATCCCATCCGAACGACATGACAGCTGTCTAGTCGTTCGGATGGGACAAAAAACCGAGGTCCCGTGTACACATTGACGTGCACGTAAAAAGATCCCTTGGCAGTTGTAATTCGATATAAGCGTAGGCCGTAGCGCCGCTGCCCGGGCAAAATTTCCCTCATAGCACACTGTATGGCGTATGCCCGTCTTCATTAGCCCAGGTTAGGAGCAGAACAGTAGGACGTTAAACCCCATTCCATTTCATTTCCCCAATCCCATTCAGGCATCCTGAATAAAATATTGTTGATGCTCATAATGTATCATTTCGTAGCATTAAACCGCATATCCCATGTGATTGCCCAATGTCCAAGTGATTCAAGATCTTCTTGTAGCTTAACCTGATCCTCTATTGTAGAGATACGTCGGTAGAGTAAGCAATCATTGACAAACAATCGTACACTGAATTTGACGAGTCGGACTACAAGTGTTACATAATGGCAGATCTTATAGATGCCTCGTGACACGTGAAAGCGGAACTGATTTTAATATCAACCTGTCTCCTATCGACACCCTTGGTGGTCCTGATGACATTCATTAGTCATTTCCATAATATAAGCTTATGGTTGGCCTGTTTTATTTAATTTCCTTTGTCTTATAAGCAAACTGTACTGAATGTTAAATCTGATATGATGCAGTAGCCAGATGTGCAATGAGATCCTTTGTCTAGAAGGGTTTATAAACCCAGAGACGAGACGAGACGCGGCAGACTAGGCGAGAGCGTCTAGAAGTTAACTTGAGACCCGGCAGGTCTCGAGTTTAAGACCGGACAGCAGCGGCCATGTAAGTTAGTTTAAAGTTGGCACCTAAGAGTGTCAAGCTAAGCTAGAACCACGCCTCCCTCAACACAAGCTAATTACGGAGTCTTAAGTTTTGTACATATGTTTAAAGAAGAATAAAAGTATAACATGAAGTTAAACCAGTGTTGTCGTCAAGATCCTGACTTAAAGACACAATACTGTAACACAGGTCATTTATGTGGATTAAGAATAGCAGAGGTCCCATTACCGTTCCTTGCTTGACACCGGAGTCAACTGTGACTGGTTCAGATGCTTCGCCATCTATCACCACTTGCATATTACGATTAGTGCGATAATCTCATTCGTATTGGATTAGGTTGCCATGCACCACACCACAGCTGCCAAATAGTCTTGAGTTATCCACAACGGTTATCACACTATGAAGACAGATTGAGCTTCTGGAGCCTCAACAAAATTTTCAAGCTTTATCCTGGGCAATAACTCTGTAAATTATTATCAGAAATCGTTGAAATTCAAAAGCATTTATCTCATGAACATAAACATTATAAAAGGAGCAGCATATTCTCAGTCAGGTCCACTCTCAACCCACAAAAAAAACAATCTATCGTCGAACCGTCTTATCCCGTTCCCGGTGTAAGTGATTATGCCATGGTAGTCACATACATTGATATCCTCCCAAAGTACATCAAACAAAAACCCAGGAAGTTTTTCATTTTTTTCGAAAGTCAACTGGGACAACTTTTTCAAAGCGGCTACCTCACTTTCGGAAGACATAGTTAGCTTAACAAGCCACGTACAAGATCTTTGGGTCACTTTCAGAAAAGTGAATCTCTAACATCATGGAAAAAACCATCGCGTCAAAGACA